CCTCAAACACAAAGCCAGGGAGAGACTGCAGACATGAGATGCATGGTAATAGGTTAGGAAGAAACACCCAGGGAGTCCCTCCTATATCATTCCCACTGAGAGAGGGGAGGAAGGAATAAGATGACATTTCAGGATATTAGACCAGTACACCTCAGTGTTTTCTACAATTTCAGAATCACAGGACAACTACAGCTGTTGGAGCATAAATTGAGAGGACTTAAAGAGGATGCATCGACTTCCCCTTATTTCCCTCTTCACTCAAATAATAAAAGTAGTGTCTTTATTCACCTGAAAGACAGATTCAAGATACAACTTTTCATCTACATTGTAGATTTTTGAGAGTAGGAAGTTTGTTTTATATTCTTCTGAGTGATATTTATATTGCCCACAATGTTTAGCTTAGAACCTGGCATAAAATACTCAGTGTTTACTAGTGGGATCACACCACTTAGAAGCAGCAAATAAATATCCACACATTTTAATATAGTCATGTTGTTTGTTATGGAATATTATGGTCCTTTGTATGTCTCAGTAAATAGTCTCCTCTATGCTAATCACACCACTGTAAGAGTTAAAGAACTAAAGAATGCTTGTGAGGAGGGTGGGGGAGGCAACAGAAAGAGGACTTGCTCTAGGGGAACTCCAGTTCTTATACACCACAGATAAAAGGCAGGTAGGAACCCAGATGTCTAGATAAAGGGCAAAAGAAGGAACACAAGAAAACAGAACCAGATCAGCCTGCATGGGTCTGGCTGTCAAGGATGTGAGAAGACAGTGGCTCACATCACACAGAATCTTGAGAGAAGTGGGCTTGCCAGGGATGCCTTTTTGTGAGGAAATGGAGGTAGAAACCAGGAAACCCAACAAACAGAACTTTTCACCAGAAACAGAGAGCTCCAGATCAGGCAGGTTTAGAAACAATGGGATGGGTGGGGAATGGAGAATTAGAATAAAGAGAGTATCAACCACATCTGAGTCAGAATTGTATCCCATATGGGGTACACGTGGGGAACCTGGCCAGCCATGACGTATGAACTTCCCAGAGTACTGCTCAGATGACCCCTACCAACTTCATAAAAATGCTCTGCCGTTCTCCAAGGTGCTGGCTTTGCCTGCCCATATTCCAGTCTTGCCTTGTGGCTTCTGCCTTCACTTTCTCCAGTCTTCAAACAGTGATGTACCCGCCCACACACCGGGCCTCAGGATCACCTAGCAGTCTTTTTGTAGCACATCACATGCTACAAATCGCAATTCATAGATCCCATCACAGACTTATTGAATCAAATCACTGGAGCTTTGGACTCAGAAATCTGCTTTTCATAGGCTTCTTGGCTGTTTTCTGCTCAGCGAAGCCAGGCCTGGACATCAGTGGCTTCACCCTCACCAGCCTCGTCAAGTGGGTCTCACTATTAATAATATAAATATTAGATAGATGCAAAGGTAATTGTGGTTTTGGAATTAAAAGTAATGGCAAATATTACCTGTACACCAACCTAACAATTACAATTATTCTATCTACCAATAATCTCTTATGAGCTACCTAAAAGATTATGTGAATCCCCTAATGAATGTTTCTTATCAGAAACCCAACTGGAATTTGAGGCATAAGATTTTTTGTGGAGAATTCCCTGCAATCAGAGCTATCGGCATCCCTGCCTACTGCCCATTAAAGGCCACCTGGTATCCCTGTGATAACCAACACTGCCCTCAGATTTCCAAATGGCCTCAAGGTGGCAGTGTTGCCCCTACTGGCTGCTGAACTGTGATAAAAGTCAGGAAGCCAATGACACAGAACTTCTCTAGCTGGGCAGGTTTCTGTGTCCATGTGGGCTGCTTGGACCCCCTCAGCTTCAAGTTATTCACTGTGAGAAGTGATGAGAGGACAGAAAGCTAGGTCTTCTCCTTTGAATACTTACCTGATAGATGATAGATAGATAGACAGATATAGAGTGGATATAGTAGGTAAATGGATAGATACGATAGATAGATAGATAGATAGATAGATAGATAGATAGATAGATAGATAGACAGACAGACAGACAGACAGATGATACAGTGGATAGACAGATGGATAGGGTGAGGGGATAAATTGATAGAGAAAGATGATAGATGGATAGACAGAAAATAGAGAGGGATACAAAAAGATGTTAGATAGATAGATAGAAAGATAGATAGATGGTAACGAAACAGCCTCGAAAGCAGTGAAAAAAAAAAAAAAAGAAAGATAGATAGATATAGGCAGTTAGATAGATAAATAGGTAAATAGAATGGAGGTATAGATAGAGAGAGATAGATGATAGATAAATAGAGTGGGTGGATGGATAGATTGATTGATATATAGATAGATTAGATAGAGTGGGTGTATGGATAGATAGGTAAATATAGAAAGATAGGCAGATAGATAATAGACTAGAAAGACAGATGATAGAGTCATATGCAGAAAAATGTTAGATAAACAGACAGATAATAGATACATAAATATACATATACACACATATACATAGAGATGATAGTTAGATAGAGATAGAAGTTAGACAGAGAGATAGATAGATAGATAGACATAGATAGATACTTGTTCAGTACTAAATAAAAGGAAAACAGGCTTGAACTGAGTCTGACTCATTCTTGTCAGTCTTCAAAACCTGCCCCAGCTTCTGTTTTGTTTGTATTGTTTTACTGAATTTACCGACAGAAAATAAAGACATGGAGTCCTATACCCAAGCAACCTGGTCCCAAATGTATCTCATTTTAAACTGAAAAGAACAACTGCTGCCAACTGGCTCTGGGATCCAGGAAGTCAGAGACTGACAATAGAGAAGGAGGCATCACAGGCTTGCAGTACCTTCTGCTCTCACTACCCTGTTGGAGCTGTCCGAGGTCCCAGCCTAGGGTCCAGATTTTGGGGTTGTATCTAATATATGTCTTTCCCTCTAGGACTCACCACTTGCCCTGAAAACCAGCTTATCTGGATAAGGCATGAATATTTGGCCTAACTCTTGCCAGTCACGTTCCTGGTGATGACTGTTTCTCCTGCACCTCTCTCCGTGGGCTACAATCTTTCATTATGTAGAAAGAACCCCAAAAAGAGGTCTTTGCCCCTGGGCTTCTGAGTGGCTGCTAACTGAATTTATAGCTGTTGAGATTTGTTTCCACAATATGGATATTTCTCTGATTAACACTTGATCCTGAGAGAGTATCTAGACTCTACAATATATACCACATTGCTGACTGCACAGGACAGTTCCTTTGTCCCTTTAATTCCTGGCAGATGTCCTAGAAAAGAGGCCTTTTCCTTGTCTCCTCAGCTCTCCTGTGGGGGTCACATAGGCTACACATGCCCTGCTACAATTCCTGCCCAGAAAGAATAACCATTATTGGAGAACAGCTCAAGAGGTAGGGCAAGGTACTTGCTACCCAGGAAGTCCTCGGCCCCACCCTGACAATCCTGTCTGTGGGAACTGTCACAAAAATCGATAGTAAAGCTCACAGGCTGCCTCAGTTCAGGAGACACACATCTTGGCCAGAGGATGGGGCTGTAGGCTTCCTAGACCTGTAAGGAGCCATGTATTCATTCAAGCAAGAAATACTTAGTGAATCTGGAAAAAAATTCAGGTCCAGAAGCATGGGCTACCTGGATCCATTACAAGCAACAAACCGACCCCAGGAGTGAGCAGGTTTTACAATAAGGCTGGAAACTGAGAGGTAAAAGCAAAGTTGAGAAATCCAAGGAAGAATTGGGCTCAGAGGAGGACTTATAAGTGTGAAGATGGAGAATCTGTTCATGGGGAAAAAAAAGAAAAATACACAAAGAAAAAGATCTAGTCAGTCTTCGAGGGTTGAAGACTGTTAGAAAGGGATAACCATGGCAACAACAGTAAGTATGCCAGTCCAGGGAGAAGACAGCACTTCCAGGAGTTACCGCCCAGTGGAAATTTCCTGGGCTTCGGAATCTGACAGCCTTGGAATTGAAATCACCACTCTGTCACCTAAAACTGGGGAAAAATAATTTAAGCTCTCCGGTCTTGAATCCCAAGGATAATAATACAGATCTACATCCCAGTGGACACTAAAGTATTACTCCATATAAGGTAATGGGCACACAGAGTGACACCCAAGACACACGCCCTAAGGGTTTCTCCCTTGTCAAGCCCATGTCCACGGTACAGGCATGTCCAGAATCCCAGGAACGGCTGCCCCTACCTAGAAACCCTGACTCCACCCAAATTGACAAAGACCCTTTTACCTCCACTTGGCTGTCCCAGTCTAGAGATTCATTCACAACAATACCAGGAAAATCGGGCCAGACCTATGGAGAGAAACACGCTCAGTAGCGATGCACGAGATAGTTTCCCTTACATAGGATTTCTGAAGAAATTGTTGTATAAACCATGTTCTAGGAGCGATGATACTTTGACTATCATGTAGGATTGACATAAAAGAAAAGTGAATTCCATAACATGTTACATTATTTTAAAACTCATTAATTGTATCAACAAATATTGTTTAGAAAAGGAGGGTGTCTGACCTCAGAGCCCAAATAGAAAATGCCAAAAATAACATACACAGGCGTGTGACCCACTAACCGTGACCCACCCTCAGCCTAGGGACTAGTGGATCACCCCTTAGGATTATACCTTTCCCCAGACAATGTCTCCATCATTTGGGTATTTGATGAAGATGTCATCCTCCAAGCCCCGAGCGAAGGCAGGATAGGGCTGTGTCTCATTGCCAGAAATAGCTGGATCCTGAAATCAAAGCATAAGTCAGTTGGGAAAACCAGAGCCAGAGAATGAGGTGAAACAGAATAAAGGAAAACTCCTCCAGGGTGAACTCGCTGGCTTCTACCTGAACTGTAGACTTTCTGTGAGTCCTGGGAAATACAGAATTCTTACTGCACTTCAATTTATCTATTTGCAACATGGAAATAAAGTATAACTCTTTCTCCACCAAAGCCCATACCTGCTCCCAAACTGACCACACACATTCACATCAGGACTAACCAGAATGAGGATGACCCGCATCCCATCAGCCTTCATGCGGTTGATCAGAGCTGGAAACCCAGCAAACTTGGGGCTGAGGGTGAAGTCCAGCTGCCGCTCCATGTAGTCGATGTCTGAGTACTGCACGTCCTGCGGGAGGACATGGGGAGCTGAGTGGCTGCTGCTGTACATGCTCAAGCTTTACAGGAGAACAACCCTCCACCACCCATGGTGGAATTCCAGAAGCTTCTCGTTGATGCTTTCAAATCCCAGCTCTGCCATTTGTTAGGCACAGGTGCTGGGAAATTCACTTAATTTTGTAAATGTTCAGTGATAAGATAGAAAAAAATCGAAGTCAGCATAAGATAGGATGAGAATGTGTCTCTAGCATGGCTATTCTGAGGATAAGAGAAAACACTGGTTTGGAAAGTGCTTTGTAAATTGCCCATATCAGGTGTGATTGTGATGACCTTCCCCAAGAGGCTGCCCCTGGTATCAGTGGTTCACGTTGAGGAAAAATACTGTTAATTATCCAGGGCTAGTGGCAAATCTACTACAAAACAAAGTAAAGATGTATAGTTGCTTTGGAATCCCGAATCTTGAGGGTAATCATACACAACATTCTTCCTGAGACTGTAATATTGCATTTCACTATCCACTAATGGAAACACTATGTTCCACTAATGGAACAATTGTAAACAATGGAAAAGTGGGATAAAATTAAATGTGGGATGGTTCATGGGATCATTGTCTGATGACTGGGTCCGCTCCTGTCCTCTCCTGAAGGATAAGGTTTATTTCCATCTGTATGTCCTCTGCAAACTCATCCCAGGATCTGTGTAATCCATCAGTTATTAGCTCAGAGCTGATGCAGGAACTGAGGTTGTATTCACATGTACAGTTGTCTGATCAATTTGTGGTTAGTCTTTTCAAGAATTAAGTAAAAGAACTGTGGGATATCATTTATTCTTATGGAACCAAGGACGTTTTGACAAATGTTTTGAAATCATGTGAAAGAAACGGAAGAAAGCATGAGATAACAGAAAGAGCCCTGGAGCCAGCCTATCCCCCTCTCTGGGAAATCACGGTGAGTCTTGAGCTACCACCTCTAGAGGATGGAAACAAGCACCCTTATCTGTATTACTGTGCTGGGGTGAGGCTAACTGTGATATTGTCTGAAAAATAACGTTTTATCTCTATAGAATCCCACAAAGATTAGACAAATGAACCCCGACACAGAGGCACCTGGGTTAGTTATGAAACTCCAGAGCCATGACTGAGAACGTACATAAGGGATCTGGGCGGCCACCATGTCATCATACAAGCTGGCGATCTCAGAGTCGTTCTGGTATCCATAGCGACACAGCTGGAAACCCAAAGACCAGTAAGGTACCATCACAGGCCGGCCAATCAACTAGAAAATAGACAGAAAATATTAGTCCTCAGAAAAGAGACACCAGATTAAAGTTTTACATCAAGTAATAAGAATATTTTTCGATGCCCAATCTAGACAACTGAAAGCTTTCTGCTAGACTTAAGCTCCTTCCTAAACATTGTGGAAAATCTGATGTTACTCTGTTCCTAGAGACACTGTAGGTAACTCATTAAGAAGCCCAGAATCAGAGACAAATGCCTGGCTTAGCACACAGGCTCCAGTCTTTCTAGCTGTGTGGCCTTAGGCAAAAATTAAGTAAACTCTTAGTGCTTCAGTTTCTTCATCTGTAAATAAAGGATAATAATAGCATCTGTTTCACAGCATTCCTGTGAGGCATGAATGAGTTAATATGGGTGAAGTGCTCTAATATGCAGCAAGTGATAAATCAGTGATGTGCACTTGGTAGTATACAAGCGTCTGTTGTTGCTGCCACAACCACCATGGTCGTGGTCACCATCACCATCATCACCGCCAACATCATCACTATTTTCACCATCACCACCAGTAGCATGATTGTGCCCCCACCACTATCATTACCGTTATCACTACCCTTCATTACCATCACGACCAACCTACGACCACCCCCACCACCATCCCCAACATCACCACTATCATCACAACCACTATCACCAACATCACACTCCTCACACTACCTCACTGTCACCACCACCACCATAACCACCACCATCATCACCATCACTACCACAAACACTCTCCTCACCCCCACCCTTGTCACTATCACTACCATTATCACCAATACACCCATCACCACCACTACCACCACTATCATCACCATCACCATCACTACCACTACTACCACCATCATTATCACCATTCCCACATCACTATCCCCACCATCAGCCCCTACTGCCATCATCACCATCACCAACACCATAACCATAACCACCACCACCAACCACACTATCACTACCATCACCACCACTGGTACCACTATATCTTCTGCTCTTCTGCAATGCTTACAGAGGCTATACATTTAATGATAATCTGAATGTGTTTATTTTTTCTTATTCTATAATCTCTCTCCAACAAAGACCAATAATTCCAGTTATCATCTGAGAGTTACACTAATCAATGTGGGCTCTGGCATCCAGAACGTGCTGTATAAGTGTTTGATAAACAACTGGATTTCCCCCTACCTCAGTGTACTGCTGGGTGACAAGCTCTGGAGTTGGCCCCAAGAACACATAAAAGTCCAGAACTCCCCCTGTGGTACGGTATGTCAAGGCAGGCAGGGGCTGGAACGTCACGTCTGAAAATGAAGAAAAATGCCAACCCAGATGGAAACCTTCCACATCACGAATCACCCCTGAAATCCACACATTCTCCATCTTCCTGCACCCTCCCTATCACAGAGTGGTAAGAGCAGGCATTTTCTATCACACTCACACAGAACTGAAGAAGATCAGTGGAAGTCTACAGGTCCTATTCCTGGGTTTGATTCTCTTTGGGGTACTTTACTATATTTTGTCACTCTTCTCTTATAGAATTTATTTTTTACATTTCAACTTTTGTTTTGGATAAAGAGATACACGTTCACATTTGTTACATGGGAATATTGCATGATTGCTGAGGTTTAGGGTAGGAATCCTGTTACCCAGATAGGAAATACAGTACCTGGTAGGTAATTTTTCAATGTACCATAAACCCTCATATACCCAGACTAACTTCTCTGACCCACAGTTTTACCCTAATTCAAATTATATAACTGGCTCCCATGAGCCGAACTCCAGGATATTTGGGACCCATGTGGTGTTACTATCCTTTCTTATGTGATTTTTACCAAAATAAGAGTTGGGTTAAATCCTCTTATCACATGATCCTATACTGAAATAAACAGAAAGGCTAAACACAAAGAAAAAATAAATAAATAAATTTAAAAAATAAAAAAAAATAATAAAAAAAAAAAAGAAAAAAAGAAAAAATAAACACCAATGCCCGTAAAATGAAAATTTTGACTTCAAGGAAGAGTTAGGCTAAACACATTCTAAACTGACTCAAGCATGATTGCTAGCCCCCAAAATAAGGGAGGCGCTGGACGGCCTTACCCATGGCATTGCTGTTCAGCAGGAACACTCCGTGGGCACTGCCGTCCTCCTCCAGCCCCATGTAGTAGGGGTGGACACCATAGGAATTCTTCTTGTACTAGAGAGTCATGGGGAGAAGCAGTAGGAGTTTAAAAGACATTATGCCTGAGAAAGAAACTCAACAAAAATGTGTTTGCTAAGATGGGTCTAGTTTTCTCCATGAAATCAATTAAACACGTGAAACAAAGGAGCCTGAGAATTGGCCCACTCGTCTAAAACCAGAATGAGAGGACCAAGTGGAGTTTGGGAAGATGAAGCCCGAAGCCTGAGTAGTGTGGGTGGAGAGAAGCAGAGACACAGATCCCAAATGCTCTGTCCTTACCCCTGGGGGCTGGTCTCGGGAGAACATCCCCCAAGTGTGCCACTCCAAGTCTCTCCTATAGGATGTGTGCTCAGTTTCCCCAAAGCCATAGAGGTACTTGGAGGGAAGGCGGGTGGAGATGCGAATAAACATGTCATTGAAGGTGAAACCAAGGAGCTGAGAGTCCCAACTGAAACACAAAAAGGCAGATTTAAAACAGAAAATGGGCTTTCTCTCTGCTTCCAGCAGCTGACTTTTCAAGGACAACAAATGCGTGATTTTTATCCAGAACCTGTTCATCTCCAAAACAAAACAGATACTCAGTTTGATTAAAATATCATAGAAATCCTCACTAAAAGCCCAGGAGTTATTCTTCATTCATCTGTTTCCCACTGTCACTGCTTCCTTTCAGTGGTCCTCCACAATAAAAAGCCAAGCACTCCTCATCATCACAGCTGGGTACACCCCACACCAGCACCACCTTCCACCCTTGCACCCCTCAGTGCATTTTCTACATAGCACTCAAAGTGATGTTTACTTATTATTGGTTGTCATGAGAAGACAACCCTCAGCTGTCTACAAGGAGCAGCACCTCCTCTAGACAAGGCACCCCATAAACATTTGTTGGATGAATCCTCAGGCACACTCGACTGCCTCAGTAATTATTTCTAGAATGCTAAAGATTTCCCATGAGAACAGGTCTGCAGGAAACAACTCATCCATGGATCTGGAAGTGGACAATGTGATGTTTGGAACCAGGATACATTCAAGGACAATGGACCTGGCAGCGAAGGCAAAGGTAGACATCAACTCTGAGTCACACTATAAACCACTCACATTATAGTGCCTGTACTCCTGCGGCGAATTTCAATCCCAAATGGATTCTTCTTAATGAGAACATCATAGAGTTGACCCTCAGGGGTGCCGGATGGCACCGTGGGTACATGCAGAGGAACTGGAACTTCATACCGATTGTTGTTGGGATCATAAATCTAGGCCAGAGGAAATCGATTTTAGGCAAGAATAGTATTCTTGAAATCTATACCCTTAGCAGAACCTTTTTTATTTTTGGACAAAAAGTTCAGATGCTATGTTTCTGTCTTCTTTAAGTTTATGATATCTGAGATTTAATTAATATATCAAGTAACAATGTCAGATTAAACATTTTTCTGTCATTTCTCCTTATTAACGCCTCTATTACATTAATATACTTTATGGGACATTGGTGCTAACATGGAAAATTATTCTCGAATCAGTGTGGTATTTATGAATATGTTACTGGTTATTTTCTGGGGTATATGAGTATATAAAAATACCTGAAAATTTTTCTGAATTGAAAAAAAAAAAAACCTGTCTCCCCAAAATGAAATCTATTTGATTAAAATAATCAGAACGTCCTTGCTGAAGGTGGTATCTAAACCGACTCATGAGTACCTACTACATCACTGCCTGACACTGCACGAGACAGTAGGGATGTGAGCTGAATAAGGAAGTGCTATGGTTTTACAACATTCACATGCGAATGAGAAGTAAAATAGAGCAGCTCACAACACCTGGGCGATGTGTGCTAAGGGAGAGCTATGTAGAAGTGCTGTGAGATTCTAGGGAAGGAAATGCCTAACATTGTTTCTGGGAGACTGAGATAGTGTCATGGGAGAAATACAGGATGAATCTTAAAAGCTTGGTAGTCATTAACCAAACAAAGAAAGGAGATCAAGTCATACTGGTGAAGAATAACAACCACAGAGAAATGTGGGCCAGAAACAGGCAAATATTTTGGAAACAGCTACTCTGTGTTCAAGAGGTAAAGTAGGCAATGGTTAAGGCTAGAACTCCAAGGAAGTTCATTCATTTAAAACCCACTAGGTGCCTACAACATGCTAGTGCTATGATGAGGATACAGACATACAAGAGCATCTTCCCTGCATTAGAGGATGTACAAGAACTCAGAATTCGGGTTGATGAAAGATTGTAAAGTATCTTTCAGGCAATGCAACAATGTCTTGATCACTTTCACTTACTGTGTCAATAACATTACACCGCTAACTATCTGCCAGGCTCTGTATTCGATTTCAGAAGCACAAAGAAGAAAGGGCACATTCCTGTCCTTGAGAAGCTTAGTTTAATAGAGAAATAGACATAACAGCTGGCCCATTCCTAGTCCTTAAATGTAATTAAATCTTGGAAAGGAATGAAATTACTGCATACTGATGGCTATATACAGAAATCTCAAATTCAGTATCCCAAAATGAACATATCATCTGATATTTATCAAGCACAAACCTTTTCAGTATTCCTATTCCAGTTAATGTCAGCACCATCCATATTAAGAGGTAAGATACCAACACGGTCATCATTCTTGATTTTCTCTCTCCATTGTCACCTGCTTGCAATCATCCACCAGATCCTGTAACCCAACTTTCTCAACCTCAGACAGATCCACTCTTCTCCACCTGCATTCCAGTGTCTAGTCCAAACTTAATCCCTCAACTGACCTGCCTAACTAGTAGCCTCCTGACTTGTCTGTCTGCGTACACTCTTGCTCTCCCAACCATTTTCCTAACAGCAGCCACAGTAATCTTTTCCAAATGAAAATCAGGGCAGGTCTCATTGTTCCCTCAATGATTTCTCAATGCTCTCTGGATAATGATCTAGTCTATTGTTGCATGATTAACTTATTTCAGGGTTCTGTGACCCAGACCAACAAAAGGTAATGGAACTGAAAAGGATCAAGTCACCACCTGATACATGTACTGTGTTTACCTTGAACTGCAGCATTTCATTCTTATGGTAAGTGACATCCAGGCGAAGGGGGTTCACGGGTGTGGAGGGGAAGGCATTGGCATAAACGGAAGACTTTAAGGAGATGTCAGCTGTGGCCCCATGTGAATTATATTGAACATTACTGACAGAGTATAGATCGTTGACAAAATAGCAAAAAGGGACCCCAGAAGAATTGGATGCCTGAAAAGTAAGGGTAAAGTCATAGATCAGCTCAGCAAGTGGTCTTAAAGTTCTCTAACCTAAACAGGGTTAATAAAGTCATTTTATACGACAATAAAACCAGCTCATCACTGATCACTTGGCAATAACATAAATTTAAATTCCTGGTCTCCAAGCAAAATATTCATTTAAAAAAGTTTCACACACGTCCCCACCTACTCTTCATATCCAGAGCATGTCCCTTAAGAAGTCCTTTCTTTCTATGGATTTTAAGTACTTATGTAAGTACTACTGCTATGCTTAAGAAACTAGAGATTAGGTGTGGAGGATGTTCATGTACATGAACCCCAGCAGCATGGTTACCTCCCAGATACAGCCACGGGCAGCACAGTTTTCTGCAGAAGCGCCATTCTCATCAGGGTAACAGTCTATTTTTTCATCATCCCTTATCTTTATATCCCACTCCACTGTGTATGCTTCTCCCAGGAGAAGATTGATATCTGTGATAATGGCAACCTGTAAGAATGCAGAAATCACAAGGAAATTCATCTTTAGGAGATAGGCCTTGCAAGATCTGAGGCTTTTGTTTTTCAAGAAAAAATAAAATAGAAATTAGACCAGAGTTTCAACCATCCAACCAACGTATGACTTGAGCTCATAAGAAGAGAACTGCACATTGGGGGAATCTACTTAGCAGCAACAGGGCAAATGTCTCCTCTCTAGTAGAATGTTGTCCATAGCATAATGAAAACAATTTGGTCAGATAAAACCTGTCATGATCACTCCTTATTCTTTTCTGCTCTGACTCCTCTTGGCCCTCTGTGTCTTGTCAGGCAGGCTCTCTTCTGCACTTCCTCTTTAGCGTGACACATGGTGTCACCCAAAGTGAGCTGATCCCCTTGCTCTCCAGTCCCCAAACCAGTATCCCCCATTGGCGTGGAGTGGTAGAAAGATCACAGCAATAAGAATCATATGACCTAGTCATCATGCTCACATTTCTGTAGAATGTTGGACAAATGATTTCTTTTATTAATTTTTAATTTTAATGGATATATAGTAGGTATACATATTTATGGGTTATATGAAATATGTTGATTCAGGCACACAATGCATAATAATCACATCAGGGTAGGTCAGGTATTCTGTTTCATTTATTTGGGTTTCAATTGTAGCAACAGCAAAATTGAAAAGTTGAAAAAAATTTATATTTCTTTCCATTTCTAACATCTCAGCCTCTTCATTTCTCTAAGCCCAAAGACTCCAATTTTGAAAACTTCCTTTAATACCATTAGTTCTAATATTTAATATTTTTCTTATCTTTGATACTTCTTTAAACAGCACTTCCCAAGTTAAAGTTCTCACTTGTCTGGAGTAACAAAATCACATTCTAAAATTATCATCCTTCTCCCAAACTCCTCCCAGTCTAAACCACCTTGTACTTCCCTGTTCTACTAGTCCCCAAAACCCACTCCCACTCCCAGCAATGTTCACACACAGTAGCACAGCCTTCATTCAAGGATCAACGTGAGGCCCTTTGACAATTAAATCAAGTTGGTACCTAACACCCTCCAAAATCTGACCACAAGTTTCCTATGCAAACTAGCCTCTTTTTCAAAACTGAATCTTATCTATGCTATTCCAGTCATATAATTTTCACAGGCTAATAATATAAGGCTGTTCCCCACTTTTCTAACTCTGCTTTTCTTGTGTCTCATCATAATTATAATTCTACTTTTGGGAAAAGGAAGTGGAACCAGTTAGAGAGAGAACATTGAGAGGCAGAGAAGAGAGTAAGAAGGTAAACACCCAACTCATTCTAGCTCTGGCCACCTCATATTTTTCCCCAGTCCTCTAACTTCCCCAAAACAGGCTTCAAAGTTGCTCTGTTCCTTCAGGAACCCATGCAACCTTGGCAAGAAGGAACACCATGATACTATGGAGAATTCTCAATACACCATCTCAACAAAATGGGGTTTTACCTTCAGGTTAGAATCATAAGTGACTGTAGGAGAAGTCTGAGTTGGGACACCACTGTGTTTCACTGTAACATTACTAGGTTCTTCTGTCCCAAGAATTTTAATCTCATTAAATGCTAAATTATTGGGGTCCTTGTAGGTTGATTGTGAAATATTCACCTCCAAGCGGTTCTGCAAAACAATTAAGTCCAATTATGCATAAAGGTATGCCTGCAATACACAGATTCTCAAGTCACTCAAATATTCCATTGCAGACCAGATACCCCTCACTGCCCTGGATGCCTCTCTGCTTTCTCTACTAGTGTGTGCTCAAGAAGTACAAAATTATTTTGATAATCCTCTAATTTAAAACAATCATAAAAACACAGAGACATTTAAAAACTGTATTTAAAAACACTACTTGCTATATGAATGCCTCTTTTTCAAAACATCTATGAAATCATAAATAGAAATGTGCTCACTTATAGCCAATAATGCATATAAAGTTACAAATATAATCATGCATATACAATATACACAAGCACAGATGTGCTAATGGTCAGTCCAAAGCCCACACCTAAGATTCATAAAAGTATGCTACTTACTTGAGTGACAGAAAACTCACATAAAAGATACACTTTATTGGCCACAGTATCTGAAAGTGAGAGAAAGACGAGTCAGATTCTAGCCTTCCCACCACAGAAGAAAAGATTTCACTTGCCAATCCTTTCAGCTATGTCTTGAGGTCGCACATAGCAGTTTTCCTTTTCTTTATGGATGAATAATTTTCAATTGTATATATGTATCGCATTTCTTTATTCATTCATTCATCAATGTACAATTAGATTGTTTCTATATCTTGGTTGTTGCACATAATGCCATAATGAATGTTGGAGTGACTATCTCTCTTAAAGACACTGATTTCATGTCCTCTGGATCTACACCCAGAGGTGGGATTTCATGAGATTGTATGGAAGTTCTGTTTTTAATTTTTTGAGGAACCTCCATACTATTTTCCATAACAGTTGTAACAATTTACACTCCCACCAATAGTCTAAAAAATTCCATTTTCTCCACACCCTCGCCAGCACTTATCTCTTATTTTTTTTATGATTTCCATGCTAACAGGTGTGAGGTGATATCTCACTGTGATTTTTGACTTGCATTCCTGTGTCATTTAGTGATGCTGAGTATCTTTTCACATACCAGTTACCACTTGTATGTTTTCCTTGGAAAAACATCTGCTCAGGTCCTTCACCCAGTTTTTAATTGGGTCATTTGATGTTTTGCTACTGAGTTGCCTGAGTTCCTTATTTTTTTATATTAATCTCTTCTGAGATATATGGTTTGCAAACATTTTTATCCATTCTGTAGTTTGCCTTTTCACTGTGTTGATTGTTTCTTTTGTTGTGCAGAAGTCTTTTTGTTTGATGTAATCGTGCTTGTTTATTATTTGCTATTATTTGCTATTTTTCCTTTGATTTTGGTATCATATCCAAAAAGTCATTGCCAAGACTAATGTCAAGGAGGTTTTTTCCTGTTTTCTTCTAGGAGTTTCACAATTTCAGCCCTTACATTTAAGTGTTTAATTTTACATTGCACAGTAGCAAAGATATGAAAACAACCTAAATGTCCATCAATAGACGAATGAATAAAGAAATTGTGGTACATATATACAATAAAATATTATTCAGACATAAAAAGAAGAAAATTCTGCCATTTGCAACAGCATGGTTGAATCTAGAGGACATTATACTAAGTGAAACAAGCCAGAGACAGAAAGTCAAATACTGCATGGTCTCACTTACATGTGAAATCTAAAAAAGTTAAGCTCCTAGAGTTGTTCTTAGAGCCTGCAGGTGTGGAAAATGGGGAGATGATGGTCAAGGGTACAAAGTTTTAGTTATTAGATGAATAGGTTCTGGGGATCCAGTCTACAGTATGGATGGTGATGGATGTGCTCCTTAAAATAGCTGTGGTAATCATTATACTATGCCTATATATATATTAAATCCTCACATTGTCCACTTTGGATATATTTCATCTTTATTTGCCAATTAAATATTTTGCAATGAAAAAATAAATAAATATTTAAATCTACATATTGGATTAGATGGACAAGAGTCTCCAAGGTCAAGCCATTGTTTTTCCTTCTCTTTCCTACTGGAACATTGCAAAGCTTCCCTTCCAAAGGCTTCCAAGGTGTATGCCTCAAGGGAATCTGTTTCCTAAACTTGAAGCACAGGAATTGGTAGTATACTGGACCCACAAATACTAAAAGGTATGGCTAGGTGAGTACACACTACAACAGTATATTCTCACTGCCTCATTGGCAGGGGCATGATTTTTATATCGCCAACATTTGCTCGTAAGAATTTTGGGAGGAAGACATTAACATTGAATTACAGGAACAGTCTTGAAACCATCTGTTCTAAGCACCCATTGACAATAAAAAGAGAGCCTATTGGCCAAGCGTGGTGGTTCACGCCTATAATCCCAGCACTTTGGGAGCCTGAGCCGGGTAGATCAAGAGCTTAGGAGACTGAGATCATCCTGGCTAACACGGTGAAACCTCGTCTCTACTAAACATACAAAAAAATTACCCAGGCGTGGTGGTAGGTACCTGTAGTCCTAGTTATGAGGGAGGCTGAGGCAGGAGAACCACTTCAGCCTGGGAGGCAGAGGTTGCAGTGAGCCGAAATTGTGCCACTGCACTCCAGCCTGGGCGACAAGAGCAAAACTCCACCGCAAACAAACAAACAAACAAAAGAGAGCCTATTATTGATATCACTGGCCAATAGAAGAATTGTCAGATATAGAAATGTATTTTTCTTTCCTTTGTAGGTCATCTACCACTACCTCTGAATGGTGCAACCAGAAACAAAATACTTCAGTGACTCTTGCTGCTGTGCCTGCTGAGATTTCTCCCACAGCTCAATGACCAGCAGGAGGGAAGGACCATAAGTCACAGGTGCGGGTTTGGAAACAGCAACATGATCGTTTCAGTGCTCACCCTTCGTTTCCCCATCATCCCAGAAAAGTTCTCCTTTTGCTTCTTTGTTCTCATCTAGGGCAATGATAAGACCAAGAGGGTTCTTTCGACTGTGGGGAACAAGATTCAAGAGACAAAGACAGGAGTCAGAATTTTGCCAACTGAGCTGAGAATGTTTCCATCAAATTCCAAAATGAAAAAGTTACTAGCAGCAGATGGTTCTGCTTTTCTTCAGGCACAAAATTGACAGGCGCCCCTATCTTTAATATCAACAGTGTCACGAGAGATAGAAATACCCCAAACATTAGCAATAACATCTGTGTTGGAGGCAAGAATTTAAGCACCAGAGTCTCTTCAATAGCTCAAACAAAAGCTGCTTCTGCAACTACTACTTAGAATACAGACTATGAGAAGAGAAAGAAATCTTAGGCAATAACTGGTTCAGTCAGATCATTTTAGCAATGATGCCCTCAGGAGAAGTGTCCAGTGCTGTGAGGAAGATACAGTTTCACCTGCCTAAGGACCATTTATACCCAGAAATCAACAACATACAATAAGGTCCATCTATTTAGTAGTAACTGATCTGATTATCAGGTATTAGTTTCTTTTGAAAGAAAAACAAATCATTCTAATGATCTACTTTATAATTTAGAATAAGAAAACACAAAACATTACTCAAAGACATGGTAAAGTAGACAGACAGAGAGGAAGAGGGGGAGAGAGAGAAATTTTTATTTGGAATCTCTCCTCATTTTGTCACTCCTCTAGGCAACCTCCAAGTTTCCTGCTCTTCTTGTTTCTTCTCTGTCTGTCACTGGACTCACATTCTCCATTGTATTATTTCACAGTTCAGCCTTTCACTATATAAGAGTTAGTTTTTATTATCAACAAAATCATCTGCTTTCATTAAATATTCATGTATTGAGTAGCAGTCATTTCTAGGAAGTCAATGAGATACAAAAATTAATAAATCACAAGTCCTGACCTGAATGGTCTTAAATATTACTGGAAAAACTAGGCACATTCATTAAAAAAATGGAGGCAGACAGTGAACACAACACAAAAGTTAAGATATTCTAGGAGTCCAGAACCACAGTTCCAGAAATATGGTGGACTGGATATTCTTCTGGAGACTTACCCAGTAAAATATTCCCTGATTCTAGATAAATTACAACACATATTTCTGTTAAAATATTGTTGGATTTGCAAGAAAGTAAGAAATACATCCAAGAGACCAAAACAGTAACAGGATAACAAAACACTGAGCTAAAACTAAAACGGTGCTTAGTAAGCAAAACCTAGAATCTCCGTGCGGCAAATTCCCATAGCAAGGTTAAAATTGGGCTACTAAGCCTAGCAATCCAAGGTAGAGAATGTGAACCTCTGATTCCCACATGAAGCCGGGATCTTGAAGGAAGCTAACGTAATGCCAGTTGGAAGCAATTCTTGGCTTGCAAACAGAGAAAGCAAATCATCTCTGGAGGAATGAGACCTACATTTATAAGATTATCATAGCTTAAAAAAAAATAAGATCACCGAGCACACAAGGTAATAAGTCAACATGAAAGAAAGTCAGCAAAGGTAAATAACAATAGACTTAGATTCCCCTAAACATTTTAGATAATAAAATTTTCTAGCACAGAGTATACAACTATTATTGAAATGCTAACAGTATTAAGGAAGACAAAATCTTCTAAGGAGCAAAATATATATATATGTGTGTGTGTGTGTGTGTGTATATATATGTATATATGTATATATGAAATGACCAGAAACTTGGAAGTGGCAGTGCTTCCTCTGCTGGAAGATTAGGGAAAGATTTCTTGCTGCTGAAATGTAAGTTTCATTCGGATCATTAAGAATACACCAGAGCAAAGATGTTGGAAAGAATAAATTCAAAAGCCCAAATGCAGTAAAATACATAGGTATGTCTGGGAAATAGCAGGCTTTTGGCATATCTGGTCTGTATGTACATGAAGGTATGGCAGGAGATAAGAATTGTTAAGGTAACATGTAACCAGGTTGTGACTGGTTTTAAATACCCTATTAATAGAAGACTTTGGACTTAAAGCCTGGGAGCAACCAGTCAAGATTTTCATTTTGGAAAAATCAATTTGGTATCACTGTGCAGAACAGCTTGAAAGTGAACAATTCGAAAAAGGAAGCCAACTGGTATTGGATTTAGGGACATTTTCCATTAGCATCATAAAAAGTCTACAATTTGGAAAATTAAAGCAGTAAGAGAGGTTCAAAAGAAAAGACAGGTTTCTGGCTTCCAAAGAACTCCTAGTCTACTAAAGACAAGTAGGCTAATACTTTCAAAGGCATGAAGATATAAATGTGTACCTCTTTAGTACAGATGGAATCTATTGTTTTGGAATCAATTAAGTATAAAGGAAAATTCAGTGACTTGGAGATTTGAGGTTTGCAGAAGGTAATGTTTGAATCACAAGAAAGAAAACTTAGTGGGAGAAAAGAAATATGAAGTTGAAATTCTAGGAGGGTGGAAATTGAATCTTGACTCTCTAGAAAAGAGAACAAGTGAGTCAAGAGTAAAGAAACATGGATGCACAGTGTGGCCAAGGCAGACAGAGGGATCAACTGACCTGGTTTGCCCAGAATCAAGAAGTATCCTAAGGGAAGGGACTTTTGGTGCTAAAACTGCAACAGTCCTGGCCAAACAAAAAAGGCTGACCACCTGGTTGTTAGTTTCAAAAAGAAATTCAAAGGGTTTCAGGAAGGATATCAATTCTTAAAGGACACTCCAGCCATGCTATACCTGGCCAGAGTGGTTGTATTTGGCTGCTGTGTGGGAAAGATGTAGCCTCCTCGAAGGTGAAGTCCAATTTTGTCTCCAGGAAGTTCCATCTCGACTTTTTGCTTCCTCCATCTCACTTGGTTTCCCTGATGCATGCAGATAAATCAAACACATTGGCATGACAGCATATTGCCCTCACTGATTATCTACGTGCCGAGTGATCCTCAATTCTCTCCCTTTTCCATTAGTTGAATTACAGTCTAGCCAGGCAATCAAACAACAGAAGGAAAAAAATCAGGAATAACGTATTCTGCCACCAGTTGGGGGTTTGTGAAAACATTTATGCCATGCTGAGGCTATTTGATACATATTATATAAACTGATAGTTCTAAACAAATAATCTGATTCCTGACCAAGCTCACGTTGTCCATTAGTTCCTCCAATATTCATTTATGAGATACTTTGTCAGCCTCTATCTTATTGCTGAATAAAGTATATGAAGGTATTTTTTCACATTTCATCATGACTGATGTTAGGGATTTAGGTTGACTTTACCCAGGTTCTGCTATGAAATTACAGAAAACACTACAAAAATACTCCTCAGCAGGTAGATGGATGTTTCTTTCTCAGGAAAGGTAATTTGTCTATGCAGCTGCAGCTACAGTCTTAAGGAGTAGAAGAAAAGTCAAAGCTACTCACAGTCTCGTAGTCATACCAGACAGCATCAGGCACATATGCCATCACTTTCTCTGCACCCTGAAATTAAAACAGTATAGTATCCCCTGAGGGAAATAAAATGGATTTATTATCTAGGGAACTTCTTAATCATACACAGAGAGGGCAGGAATGCCCTTTCCATCCTCTGTTATTATGCCTTTCTTCTGCTTCTCCTCTAATACAAATAATAGAAGCTGTAACTTGGCAACCCAGAGAGAAATCCCAAATGTAGCCACATTAGGAATAATAATAATAATAAAACATGTGTGGTGACAAACATTCCAGCTTTACATGATTATATCATTCAATTTTCCCAACGTTCCCAAATGGTAGGTACTATTATTATTATTATTATTATTATTACACCTCTACAGATGAGAAGCCAGTACAACTGTCACCCCTGATCACACAGGCTCAAAGTGGTAGAGACAACAATCACATCCCGATCTGCCTGACTTTAGAGTGAGTGTTGGGACTGCTCCATCCTGTTTCTGCATCATGGAGCAAGTCAGGATCTGCTATGAGAATCCAAAAACAAATAGGACCACTCCTGATATAGTTTGGATGTTTGTCTCTGCCCAAATCTCACGCTGAAATGTAATCCCCAGTGTTGGAGATGGAGTGTGGAGGGAGGTGACAGGATCATGAGGGCGGATTTCTCATGAATGGTTTACATCATTCCCTTGGTTCTGTCCTGGCGATAGTGAGTGAATTCTTATAAGATTTGGTTGTTTAAAAGTGTGCGGCAGCTGAGCACAGTGACTCATGCTTGTAATCTCAGCACTTTGGAGGCCGAGGCAGGTGGATCATCTGAGGTTGGCAGTTTGAGACTAGCCTGGCTAACATGAAACCCCATCTCTACAAAAATACAAAATTAGCCGAGCATGGTGGCAGGTGCCTGTAATCCCAGCTTCTCGGGAGGCTGAGGCAGGAGAATCGTGTGAACCTGGGAGTTGGAGGTTGCAGTGAGCTGGGCTTGTGCCACTGCATTCCAGCCTGGGTGACAGAGTGAGACTCCATCTCAAAAAAAAAAAAAAAAAAAGTGCGCGGCAACTCCCCCCACTCTCTCTCTTGTTTCTGCTTTTGCTATGTGACATCCCTGTTCCCCTTCACCTTCCTCCATGACTGTAAGCTTCCTGAGGCCTTCCTAGAAGCTGCACAGATACCAGCATCATGCTTCTTGTAAAACTTTCAGAACTGTGAGACAACGAAATCTCTTTTCTTTGTAAACTAATCAGTGTCAGGAATTTCTTTATAGCAATGCAAGAACAACCTAACATAACTTTTAAATCTAGAGTTTCCAGTAGATGCTTCTAAACCGGTTGGGAACTTGATCGAGGGAAAAAAAAAAATTCTAGAAACAAAAATATGTAATTACCAGATGTCTAGCTTCTCAAAACCTAGCACACTCTCTTCAAGGCTGACTCAGTCACAGATATCAGAAATGAGTTTGGTATAAGGAGGAGAGAGGAATTTGCAGGGCAGCAGGAACAGAAGCGGAGATCCCTAGTGTATCTCTGTGGGAACACTTACTTCATCCAGAACTGGAGTGATGAGGAGGCCAGGCCCCCATAAGAACTGTTGGTGCACATTCCAAGTGCTGTTGTCCTCATAGAACCTGAAGACCAGAGAGACAGTTCACTGAGATTTGAGCCACTGCCAATGAGATTTATCGCAGTTCTACTCACAACCTGTTGAAAGCATACAGGTCGCCTGCCCGGGCAAACCTCCCAAATTATTCTGTGACACCCACTCAAGCCCCTCTGCACCCCAGGACAGATTCCCCTTCCCCAGCTTATGTCTCCTATTCTTCCCTCAGGCTAAACAGATGTTTCTATCAAGTTATGTATGCTAAGCAGGTCTCAGGCTGTAATTCTATTTTCCATATCCCTCCTTTTTAAAAAAAGTAAGTTGAGATCTAGATATTTGCGTCAACATGGATAGAACTGGAGATCATTATGTTACATGAAACAAGCCAGGCATATAAAGACAAACATCACATGTTTTCATCTATTTGTGGGATCTGAAAACCAAGAATTTATGGATACAGAGAGTACAAGGATGGTTACCAGAGGCTGGGAAGGATAGTGAGGGGCTGGGAGGGAGGTCAAGATGGTTAACAGATACAAAAAAAAATAGTTAAAAAGAATGAGTAAAACCTACCGTTTGATAGCAAAATAGGGTGACTATAGTCAATAATAACTTAATTGTACATTTAAAAGTAACTTAAAGAGTATACTTGGATTCTTTATAACTGAAAGGATAAATGCTGGAGGGGATGGATACCCCATTCCCATAATGTTCTTATTTCACATTGCATGCCTATGTCAAAACCATTTCATATACCCCATAAATATATGCAACTACTATATACCCACAAAAATTTAAAATTAAAAAATTAAGTTAAATAATCAATACATTTCATAACTTCAGCTGACGATCAAGAAACTGGATCTGATCATAAAATATACCAGATAATTTAACATTTTACTTTTTTCTCTTTCAGGATATCTGCCTTTTAACAAGAAATTTCATGAACAGACAAAAACTTCCCAAAGTAATGAATATATGATAGCTTGATATGTGCCTGAGGGCCTCATATGTTACCCACATAAGGGAGTTGACTGTATTTTGACAAGAAAATGCTCTTAAGTGCCTTGTTTTAGAATTAAATTAGAGATGTTCATTGCCTGAGAAATAAGAATTCTGAAATTCTACAAATCCTTTATAATAGCCTCATTTGTATTTATATTATAGGCTCATTCCTATAGCTTGAACATAGTTCTGGCATTATAGCGCATTACAGACAAGACCACCACAGTCAAGACTTCAAATCCTTTGAATTAAGACTGAAGAAACTAAAGAAAAAATGATTTTCCTAAGCTATAGAGTGAGTTAGTGAGCGGCAGAACAAAGAAAAGACCTGTAGTCCCATGACTTTTAGTCTAATTCTCTCACCAAAATGGAGCAGGCAAGGTTTACAAATACCAACTAGGTATTCCAGTTAGATACATAAATGAATAGAGATAGATAGATTACAGATATAGATATAGATAGATATGAATAACTGCCTGAATTGTTTCAGTTTTCACTCCGATATTTGATGATATAGTCCATGTCATTCCAGATGCATTAATAAATTAGAGGAGGTTAGGTGAACTTACTCATGCAAAAGGGGCCTGGCCACCGTGTCCCCTCGGCTGTGAGCACGGAAGAAGAGGGTGTATAGGTAGGGCAATAGAGTATAGCGGATGTTAAGGTAGTGCCTGGAGGAATTCAACAGCAGGGAGTCAGCTCCAAAGGAGGCAGGATCCTGGTCCTGGGAGGAAATAGGAGTTTGCAGTTGTGATTTGGCCGCCAGAAGCACCTGAGAATTCCAGACCTCATTCATCACAACCAAGAATTTCCCTCCTGAATGACAGAGGCCAAGGTTGCAAACCTTGCTTCTGAGCAGTACCAAGTAAGGGTCTCTCCTTGGGTTTTTGATTCATCCTGCCTCCCTCATTCCTTAAGATTCCTGTCTTGGGAGGCTGCAATTTAAATAATTTTGAAGTATTTCCTTGTTTGCTTCTTATTTAAAAGCAAAAAATGTAAATAAAGTGTACAGAAGTTTGATGAAAGACCTTTACAGACATGCCATTTCCTTGAATGCAGCAGTAAATAACAGGCTGAGGCCATTGGACATTTCTATGATACAGCACAGATTCTGGTTAATTGCACATGATGGTGCAAATCAGAGTAAGTGAAGACCAGGTAAGAGTTAGTTCAGCAGATCTCTTGGCAAGGATGCAGACAGATCTAGTCCTAATGTACGCCAAATTCATTCTGACTCTATTTCCTAGGAGCCTTACCTTGAAGCCTTGGCCATTGTGATTTCTAGAAAATGGATAAAATGCGCCCAACTGCATCCACCGCCTACAGAGCTCCTCAGGGGCATCCAAGGCAAAGCCACATATGTCAGCACCCACCTGGAAGGACACACAGACAACAGGTATACCTCACTTCCTTCCACCACCCTCCTTTGCTTTCCACCAGGGACCTCCCAACTAAACCTTGCTTAAACTTCCTACTGAGAAGGCTAGGAGGGTGGTCAAAATTCGGTCATAGCCTGTGTCCACTCTTGAATGCTGGATGACTTTGAGTAAGTTACTCAATCCTTCTGTGCCTCAATTTCCTCATTTTGTCAGTGAGTATTAAATTACTACGCAGGTATTTAGTAAATGAGTGAGATAATGAAAGTAATACACTTTACATACAAGAGCTTTTGGATGTATAGTACCTAATAATACTGCTGATATTATTATTTTGACCTCACCACTGTCAGTATTATTTTTCTAAAGCCTAACTCTGACCATGTCACTCACCTGTTAAAAAATCTCCAGGACTTCCTTGCTGTTCATTCTTTTAGATCTTTAAAACCTGGTTCCAACCCATCTTTTTAGCATCATTTCTCATTCCAGTCCCACACAGCAATCCTCATAGATATATCAAATAATCCCCCTTCTACTGTTTGTGCTCACTTTTATTTCTCAGTGTTAAAATGAACTTCCCCCCTCATTAGTCAGATGAAAAAATACTCACCTTTCAAGGCTAATCTCAAATGTCATCTTTTCCATAAAGTGTCTCTTGACTTCCTGCCTTGATTCCTTTTGTCCCTCATAATTTTGTCAGATAAAACCCTTTCTCGGGATCTCCCGTAACATTTAACTCCTATGTCCCTGTTGGTCTTTTTACCCTAGTTTGTCATAATTATTTGTTTACACATATGTCTCCTCTTACTAAACTGTAAACCCTTGGGGCAAAGAGAAGGTACATCTTTACTATATTTATGCTTTCCTTCCCCTCTCACCATGCCTACTCTGCTCAAGACCTTGAACATTCTAAGAGTTCAATTCATAAATATGTTGGATTTAACTAAAAAATGCCAAAGCCTGTAGGGTGCTGGCAATGTTATACTTCTTCATCTCGGCACTAAATACACAGAAGTGTTCAGTTGGTGAAATTCATCAGCTGTATTCTTAAGGATACATACACTTTTCTGTATAAAGTATGTTACACATGTTATACTTTAATAGAAAGATCAAAGTTACACCTTCTGTCTTCATAAGGCAGTACAGGAAAGAATGGTATGGTATCAAAGCCCTGCTGATGTGGATGAAACACATGCTCTCAAGACATTAAATTCCCAGCCATGGCAGGCAGGAGAGGGGAGCTTTGCAGCTTGAAAACTTTCTAGAATGAGGCTACCTGGGAATTCAGGTTCATAAGAGAGCTTGAGGTAGCAACTCACCATTGGGATGCCGAAAAGGTTGAACTCAAGGACGCCAGGGATGGACCATCGCAGGTCATCCCAGGTGGCGGTGTTGTCTCCTAACCAATGTGCTGCAAACTTGCCAGAACCCGCAAAGGTAGAACGGGTCAGAATGAAGCTTCTGTTATTAGGGAACACAGTCTTGGCAGCTCTAGAAAGGGAAAGAGATTTAAGGAGCCAGTGTGAGATCTTAGCTTGTCTCAGTCCAGGGGATACAGAAACAATACCAAAGACATTAAAAGTGAATAACCCACTCTCTTCCAACTCTCTTTCGGTACAATTAGAGTCCCTGTGGGGAGCATTCTGTATCATTAAATATGTTTTGTTTTGCTTTGTTTTGTCTTAAGAAATTTTATGCATTAGCCCCATAATCTCCAAGAATTAAAAACATATATATATATTATTTATATTCAATAATTAGCAGGTCGTAGCCACAGTGGTCTTACTCTGCTGTGGCAACCGCCATGGAGTAGCCGTACAGATTGTGAACGTCATACTGCTTGCCCCAGTGCTGCACTGCATCCATACAGAGAGTCTTGCAGAACAGGTACCCATCCAGGACTCCTGAAACCAAAGCGGGATCAATCAGCGACAGTCTAAGTTGCACATTTCCTGCTCCTTGACTATCACACAATCCGACATGACAGCACGCCAGGCAGACACTCTTGTGGGCATCCTGCAGTCACACTGCTCCCTCACTATGAGAACGCTATCCACGTGGAGTAGTTTCTCTGACATATAAATGAATTCTGCTGACTCACACACATCCTCCCACCCGAGCTCTCATGTGATTAGAGGCACACACTCGGAAGCAAGAAGATTCAGTCAGCCCTGAGGTTCAATCTGAATTCTCCAAACTGAGCTAAGTTAAGTGGTCCAAGAATAGAAATACTGAATGAAAGTGTAAATTAATTTCTGACTCCTTCTCTCCCCTGATCATGTATTTTAGAGAATGATTTCCAGTCTCTCCTGTATTCATCTGTTCCTCTCTGCTCCCATTGCAACACTCTGGTTGAGATCCACATTATCTGTGGACCTTAACTATTGCAGTAGCTTCGTCATGTCTTATTTACCTCCCATGTATCTATTTCTAGTTCACACTATATATTAATGCCAGGTTCAAATTTCCAAAACCATCTGACTACCATGCTTCTCTCTTACTAAAAGACAAGTAGCTTCTAACACCAAAAGAATAAAATATGAACTGTTTAGCCTCTTATCCAAGCCCCTTAGCATTTGATTCTAACCTACCTGCCCCAATTTCCTCTCTTCCCACCATATTGAAGCCTTCATAAGTTATTATCATCTTAGCAGTTTTTTCCTTTCTCAAGATATAATTTGTCCTTGAACCTCCAGCATTCTTCAAACTATAGCCGATCCTATGATTCCAAGGCCACACCCTAAGAGATAGTGTTGTCCAAAGTTCAGTCAAAGCTGGGTATCATCACGTTCACTGACTTTGACCTCCCAAGTCACGAGTTCTGTCTTTTCATCCTGTGGCTCAGTTCTTCACACTGTGGACATGTCAGACATGATCCTCACCTTAAGACCAAGGCTGTTTACCTGGTGTCCCTTTGGTGCCTGCGGGTGTATACTTGAGAATGACATAAACTTACCACTAGCCTCTGGCCTCTACACCATATCCTCTCTAGATCTTCCCTAGAAATAGCTTTGACTATAAGTAGAAGTACTACATTGCCCCTTTTGAATTTGTGCCTCTTTTAGGAAAGCATAGCATGTTTTTATTTTCCTTCCTAGTTTTCTTTACCCACATTTTTCTTTTTCTATGCATACTTATGAACAAATTCCCTTGTCAAATTTTTTGGATCTGTCCTTATGAATTTATAATATGAAAAATACACATTGCTACTTTAATCTGCTGACCACCAAGACTTACTGGGAGTGAATGGGGGATTATTTAGGTTGTTTGTGGAACATCCTGAGACCGAACCATCAACAAAGTTAGAGACTTCATTCATATCCTGCAAGACGAAGAGCAAAAACTATTAAGAAAAAGTAACATGTTATCTTATGATGTACTGATGGTGTCTTTTTTTAATTAATCAGATAAATTATTACAGATATTTTAAGGGGGTATTTATATATATGGAACAGAGTAGGTGTTCTTGTCTACCCACTGAAGGCTTCATGAAGAAGGTTCTTAACATTTCTTCAAATAATATGTCTATAACTGTTGAAAATGAACAATTCCCAAACATATCAGGTGAGAAAAATTTCAGTTTATATGATGACATGTTTCAACTTATACATTTTCCATATATCAAAATATAACTGTAAATACATACACATAAAAATACATATAAACATATATACATGGAAAGAAAAGGAGGGAGAGAGCACATGAGGGTCTAGAGAGATGCATTCTAACATATCGATAATAAATGTCTTCGGTTGCTATAATTTCGGAGGATTTTTGCTTTTATCTTTTTAACTCTCTGTATTGTTTGAATTTTCTACAGTTCTGTTAGAAAAAGAAAAAGTTTCAACTCTGGAGCTCCCTAAATTTTGCTAACCCTCGGCTGGGTTACTTTCTTTCACCTGACATCATATGAGACATTTTTCTTTACCACAGGCATAGTTTGTTCAAGCACCTGAGTGCTTTGGCTCTGATCAATTTGTTCAACATGTCCAAATGGAAGAGTCTTGAACTAGCAATTGAACAATTTGTATACTTTGCAACAAGATAAGGAGTACATGACCTGTTCTGAGTTCAGCTCATTCCTTTGTGAAAGAAAGAAAGAAAGAAAGAAAGAAAGAAAGAAAGAAAGAAAGAAAGAAAGAAAGAAAGAAGGAAGGAAGGAAGGAAGGAAGGAAGGAAGGAAGGAAGGAAGGAAGGAAGGGAAAAGAAAAGAAAAGAAAAGAAAGAAAGAAAAGAAAGAAGAAAGAGAGAGAAGAAAAAAAAAGAGCTAGACTTGGGGAAAAAATTCTGAGTTTCCTTTCAGCTCTAACATTTTGATTTTTATTCTAAGCTATGTGTTTTAGTAAGATTATTTGAATAGAAAGATAGTGAATATTGAGAATGATTGCTATACTTCCTTTCTTCTCCTCCTCCTCCTCTCCCTATGCTCTGTGACTCAAAGATACAGATACAGATACACACAATCTGAATATTTGTCACCCAATAATCCAAGTGTAAACAACTCACAATCCAGATTCCATCAAACTCCACTTGATTATGAAAAAGTTCAAATTCCTTTGTCCACCAAACAGCACAGTTGGGATTGGTATAATCAGGAAACACAGTTTGTCCAGGCCAGACCTTCAGGAGAAAAAGAAAAACACTGATAAGAGCAAATTAAACAAATACAGAATAAAATAAAGTACTTTGCAAAGAAATTCCTAACATGATCACAGCAACCGAGGTACCCAGGAACACATCCTATTTAGTTAGGAAGGTGCAGTGCTCAGAATATTTAAAATAAATGTCAGGGTCACTTGAAGAAAAATGCATTTCAAAAAATGTTTAAGTCCTTAATGAATAAATTTGTGGATAAAGGCATTGTCTAACTTAGTCATCTTTAACTCTCTACACTTTTTTTGTTCTTAATTCTGGGAATAGTAAATGGGGGAAGAGCACTGTGTAAATTTCAGCTATTGGATTTTATAATCCATTATAAGCTGTGGATTCTAACATCATCCACTTTTCTCTTTCTTTCCTATCCAATTTCCCCCAGACACTACACTCTGAAAAGGTCACCAGAGACCTTAGAAGTGAACAAGCAGATAACACCTTCCTGAAGAAACAAGGACAAACAAACATTTGAGAAAGAAGTGGGTACACTTGTCAAATACTGCAGGAAAATTGAGTAAGAAGAGGCATGAAACAGTTCCGCTGACTTACCAACGAGAAAGTAATGGGTGTTTTTTGCTAGAGCAGTGTCAGGGAAGTGATGGGGGAAGAAAGGAGACCACAGTCAGCTGCAGAGTGTGTGGGAGGTGAGAAAGTGGACATTCAGTGTGTGAGCTGTTGTTTAAAGGGACTTGGCTATGAAGGGAATCAAAAATCTAGGATGGCTGGCATGCACTTGGGCACGAAAGGGCAGAGGAGAATTTATTCCCAGAATATATAAATATACTGAAAATGTACAATAAAACAATTACATGCACAAACACACACACATTCACACACCTCTATGCAGCCCCTCTACCAGCCTCCAGCTTTCCCATTAAGTTACCTCCCCAATGAGTGGAGTCACTCCATCTGAACTATTCACCCATATCTTCATATCTGAACCCCTGTCATATGGGCCATAGGGTTTACTTGAGGAAGAGTTGTTGGAGATGGCTGGATCCTAAAAAGAGGAAGAATACAATGAAGAAACCAGCTGGAAGCTGGAGGCACTAAAAGGAGACTGGGAACTTGGGGAGAAAGCAAAGGAGATGGGTGTATGAAACAGAGGAGCAAATACCTCATTTGGAGGAAAGAGGGCAGTACGTACCACAATGATGACAAGCTTCTGTCCATTTTTGTGTAAGTCATTGACAAATTCAGGGAAGCCTTTAAAATTCACTGGATCATAAGTGAAGTCCCTTCTCTCATCCATATAATCAATATCAGCATGTTGAACATCCTGAAAGAATATACAAAGTCCACAATTAGCGCCTAGGAATTTCCATGGTAAAACGAAATCAAATTTTCACTGTGATTATTCAGGATAAACAACAACTCTGTTCTGGGCTCTAAACAGAGTTCTTAATCAGTTCCTGGAACCTGAGTGCCTCTTTTCCAATGGTGATTTCAAAAACACACGACCGGTTGGTTCTCTAGGGCTTGGCCTCATCCCTGCCATCAGGTTAACTGCATCATCCTATCCTTGCCTGGCACTCTGGCATTAAAAACCAATCAAGCAAATAACACCAATTATGACAAACCCCTAAGACAATCAGACATATCCACCTAAGAAATGACCTAAATTTCACCTTATTCACAAGATAAAGAAGGGAAGAGACTGTCTCTCTCCCACATCTCCCTCATTTTATTACCCCACATTTTACTTTGTTACTTCACTTCTACCCCACATCTTTGCTGTTTATGCTATCCCAATTTTACCTGTATAAACATAGTGAAGCCCAGAATAAAATGTACCCTTCTCTACAACCTAGGTCTGTCTCCAAGGGAATAGAGCAGGGGAGAGAAGAGGATTATTCTAGAGACTACTGAGCTTTTCCCTTTGTATCACTTGTTAAATTTCATGCCCAATAGTACCCAATATCATAGGTACATTCAAAGTTAGCCATTCAAAGTACAAAAATATTTTATTACATGTCCATACTATACCTTTTCGTTCACTTAAAGTGACAGATTTTGACATGTATACTGAACTCAGGTAATAGTGTTCAATTCCCTGTCTAAACACTCCCTTTCACATCTCACACCACTAGGCAGCAGTAATAGTCCAATTCGTTCATTTCCTGGATCACTTAAAAAGAAAATGTCTATCTACATGTAAGGAAAATTGCATAAAAAAAGAGATGGCCACTATGATGTTAGAGATCTGGACTTGAAAACTAGTTCCTCTGGTTTTCTAATATTAAATGAGATTTCTAATCTTAAATGGAGTTTTTTTGTTGTTTTTTGTTTTTTGTTTTAATTTCTCAAGACTGAGTCCAGCTCTGTTGCCCAGGCATGGAGTATACCGTGGATGATAAATCGGCTTATTGCAACTCCACCTCCTGGTTCAAGTGATTCTGTGTCTCAGCTTCCCGACATAGGCTGGGATAATACAGGCCTCGTGCCAACCCATACTCAGCTAATCTTTTTTTTTTTTTTTTTTTTTGATTTTTTTAGAAAAATGGGTTTCACTGTGTTGGCCAGGCTGGGCTTGAACTCTCACCCCTCGTGATCTGCCTTCCTCAGCTCCCCCCAAGCATGATAATAACGGGGTGAACAAGGGCCGTGTGCTGGAAGAATGAGTAGTGGGAACCGCATCTAAGGCTGAGAGTGGAAATTCATTGACCAAACATCTTTCGTCTGCCCTGACTTTCTGCTTCCCCCATCTCCTCAGTGTTCCTAGGCTTTCTGAATCTCAATTCCGTTAAGCACTTTCTTTTACACTTCATATTTATGAACTCTCTTTCTGCCAAATTACAAAATGTCTACTGAAGCTCGGTTTCAATCGTGAAATGACCACACTACAGAGAAAGGCAAATTCTGTTTATTCTCAATTTAATAGTAATCAAAATACCAACGTAAAAACACATGGACCTGAAACTTGTTGTATTATTTTTCACATCCATGTAGTCATGGAGTATTCGTTCTGTCATCAATTATCTATGCTGTCTTGGTCATGTTATTTCCCCTGACAGCCTCAATTTACTATCTGTGAAAAAAATGATGCTAACCCAGATGGCTCATGGTTCTTCCAGTAATATAATTATTTTGAGCTAAATTCATGGGGTCTAGAACCACTCTGCTTCCTCAATTCCTCTTTAAAACATCTGTTAAAACATAGGTAGGGAGACTGGGAATCTGCATCATTCATGACCTGACACTAAACCTAAGAACCTAAGAATTTAGACATTAAATCTTATGCCAGAATCTTAGAGGAATTTCTAAAATTATGATACAACTTTTATGGTAAGTTCCTGCCATGACACTTTTGAGTCAAAACAAACCAAGAACACATGTAAGGCAAGAAAATCCCTACTGAGAAGCATTAAAATGCTACAATTCAAGCTGAAGAGACAAACACCTTGAAAACTCAAATAAAAACACCTGTAAAATGTAGTCAATACAGTAAGCACACAAAATGTTTACTAATAAAATACACAATAAGAAAAATAGAGACAAAAACAGATTACCTCCCAACACATAATTGCAGTCTCCTAGTCTATTTCATACTATAAAGAACTATGGTTCCTTCAAAAAATGATTGGTCCAACAAAAAAAAAGTCTAGTATTCTGAGTATCTAAAATTCCTTTCATTACGAAATAAATAAATCAATTAAACTCAGGGAAAGAAAATATAAACAGTTGTTCTTTTTCTTCAAGGGAATTTCTTTACTTTTGGAGAACTATTGAAAGACTTGCTTACATAAGGGAGCTGTGCTGCGCGATTTCTCTCCACGACTTCTCTCATGTTGTCTAAGGTTCCATATTCATAACGACTGAGGTGAAATCCAAGTGCCCAGTAGGAGGGAAGGGCTGGCCGCCCAATAAGCTGAAAGAAATATGTGAAGTGAAAATTAGCAAATACTCTGTTTTTAATAAAAAGCTTTTGAAGCATTGCTTTCAGAGCACCAAACATAGTCCATTTCCCAACGCACTGATTCATTCATGTTAGAATGTTAGTCTATTTTTCCAACCCTTCATAAATGTTTGAGGGTAGGGCCATGTTTGGGGCATCTGTATATTCTCTCCCCTTCTTATAACATAAAAATGCTATACAGCAAGTTTCCATTGCATATATGAAATCTGATCTTTAATATCTGAAATTTGTAACAGCAGATTTTGTGGGTCACACTTGCACATGAAATTTACTTTTATAAAATATTTGCTGTTTAAGATTTCCTCAGTCACAATCTTGACATCCTAAGTTTACCTCTAGATATTCTTGAACAACTTGCTCTGGAGTGTTTCCCAAGAACACATAGAAGTCGAGAATGCCCCCAGTGGTGCGGTAAGTGATGGCTGGCGCGGGCTGAAGGACAACCTCTTGAAAGGTTAAAAATGAAGAAAATACAAATCAGAATTGATTACTGAATAGTAACTACCAAGTTTTAAAATAACGCAGGATCACTAACCATGTGAACATGAACAAAGTGACCCTAGTGTCTCACATCTTGAATACCAAGGGACAAACCCTGACCAACCAAGTCCACCCTCACAGCACATGGCAGCCAAGGCATTTTTTTCTGTGACAGATTTTAATAATACTGACTGGAGTGTCTTAGTGCCTTGTGCCAGACCCCAGGCTCTGGGGAAAAAGCAGCCAGGCTCAGGAAGGGGTCCAGAATAAGCCACTGTGACATAAAAAAAATTATTTTGGACTGAAGGCATTTAAGTTACTGAAATCCCTGATGTGCCTAAAAGCATAGCCTCCCAAAAAAACTCAATAAAAAGCAATTGTCATAAATCTGCGCCAAGGAGTACCTCTAATCTTTTCTGAGATGACAGGCACCATTCCCAGATAGACAGTGTCACAAGACTGTCTCATCCTCCCACCTATCTTCTAAGGGCCCATTTATCTTTCCAAAACGTCATTTGTTCTCTCCTAAGCATCTTTCCTCCTTCCCTTTCACCTATTAATTAAGATGGTATAGAAGCCCCAAGTTCTAATCTCTGCTTTGAGTTACTCATCACTGAGAACTCCTGTGTGTATACGCATTACATGTGTAAATAAATTCTGTCTTTTCTATTGCTAGTCTACCTTTTTGCCAGTTTAATTTGCAGGCTCCCAAGAATTAACCCTAAGAGGTTAGAGGAAAAGTTTTTCCTCTCTGACTTTCACAACCACAGAACATGTCCCACCACATACCCCATCATTATTGTGAGAATATAATTCAACTAGACATGGACATAACTATCCTCAGTAAATCTCACATCAAACAAAAGCCAAACCAAAAAAAAAAAAGTCAGAAATTGTGCCATAAATTCAAAATCCCACTATGTGCCAATCACCATTCTCAAAAGTTGTGTCATTACACTGATTTGTATCCAGGAATAAAATGCCTCAAGAAATATTGCAATGTACTCTCTGGTCATAGGAACAACTCATACAGAGTATCTACGATCTTGTGGCCTTGCCCACTAAGTCTGACTCATCTTATTTTCTGGTTCCTTTCACCTATCTAAAACTGTACAGTCCTTGTATTATATTATCTCAGTCTATTCTTAGGTTGTTTGGCATTTCAAGTACCTTAGGATCATCTAAGATTCTATTAGAATCATCTTAGATTCATCTCTTAGATGTCCTAGAATCATTTTAGATCATTTAGAGTGTTTCTCAGATATCTGTGTTGGAGAATCAGATCTTTATTTTGTTTAATTTCCATTTCACTGCAAGCTGATATTTTCATAAAACAACATGAAAAATGAATTACTAGAAAAAGGTTCATGTGTGCATGTGGAGGCTATAGCACTGCTCACTCGCTATTTTTATACTCATCTTACTATAAACCTGAAACAATCTGTGACCCAGTCAGGGACCACACTTTGAGGAGCACTGATTGAATCAATGACTCTCAATTGAGAAAAGGTATCGATCAATACCCTATGCCCACCATCAATCCTGGGAGCTTCTGATACACCTTCTCTTCCCCTGTGGCAATTCATTGCCACTGGGATCTACTGACGAAAAGGCTGAAGATGGAGAAGAACATATTGGTGGAAACTATCTCAGAGCAAATTATAGGGAAGGGTTAGCTCCCTCAACTTGATAACAGAAAATATTCCAACAGAAGCCACCAGATTCAGGAAAATCATAAGCTAGGAGAAAATCCCCTACTCGTGGCTACCATGGATCAACAGGTAATAAAGTAGGGATAGCACAATTAGATAATCTATATGGCCCTCCCTACACTATGTCTCAGTCACTCTTAAAGGGATCCATTCCTTTTATCATAGTGCTGTAAGGAAGGGACTGAAAATCACTCTTGCGCTTGTTTTTTCCATGAATAGTCCTTTACCCATGGCATTGCTGTTCATCAGAAACACCCCAAAGGACAATCCACTAGCATCTTCAAGACACAGGAAGAATGTCTGCGCACCATACAAATTAGTTCCGTTCTGCAGAAAGATAATTAAAAACCAAAATTTACAACCAAGAAGTCTCAGCACCACACTGTGCGTGCGGTTGGTTCAGGAAATCAGTCCTAATCATGCAACTAATTGACAGGAAATTCATGGTCATCAAGACACATTTTTAAAAGATGGGGTCTATATCTAGTTGATGTTAACCAAGTGACATTTGGTTTTCTTACAGAATGAGCCAGCTATGATCATTCATCCAGAAGGAATGTGAAGGCTGTGATGTTTTTTACAAGGTAAGAGGATAGGAATTTTTAAAACGTAATTCAAAAAAGCTGCCCTCTCAAAGAGGCGTGTCTTAACCTGAATTAACCTCATCAGCAAAAGCTCCATCAATATGCCTTAATATGAATCAGGTAGCTAGATGGAGCTCTAGTCTAGGCTTGTCTTCGAGACTCCAGAACAGGAGTTCTCAACCTAGACTGCATGCCAGACCAATTAAAATAGAATCCCTGGAGATAGAAGCAGACATAGCTGTTATTTTTTAATTTCCCCAGATAACTCCAACATGTAGTCACATTTGATAACTATTGCTTTGGAAAAGTGTTTCTCAAAATTTGGTGTATCCACAAATTACATGGGCACCTAAATGCAGATTTTTTTTTTTTTTTTTTCAGACAGGGTCTCACTCTGTTGCCCAGACTGGAGTGTACTGGCGTGATCTTGGCTCACCGCAACCTCCACCTCCCAGGCTCAAGCAATTCTCCTGCCTCAGCCTCCTGAGTAGCTAGGATTACAGGTGCATGCCACTACCACCTGGCTAATTTTGTGGTTTTTTTTCTCACTTTGTTGCCCAGGCTGGAGTGCAGTGTCACGATCTCAGCTCACTGCAAGCTCCACCTCCCAGGTTCACACCATTCTCCTGCCTCAGCCTCCTGAGTAGCTGGGACTACAAGCACGTGCCACCATGCGCGGCTAGTTTTTTTGCATTTTTAGTAGAGATGGGGTTTCACCAGGTTGATCTTGAACTCCTGACCTCAAATGATCCAACTGCCTCAGCCTCCCAAAGTGTTAGGATTACAGGCGTGAGCCACTACTCCTGGCCCTACATGCAGATTTTAATTCAATAGATGGAAGAAGGGGCTGAAAGCCCACCTCTCTCACATGGTGGTTCCCCTGCTACATACACACTTTGAGTAGCAAGGATCTGAGGCTCCTTAATGAAACAATTGTCACCAACCATTCCTAGGTTAAGTTGCTGACTCAACAGCTTTTCTACTTTTCTGATAGGTATATGTACAGTACAGAGCCTGAGCTTAAAACTACACAGAGAAGGGATTAGATTCTTCCTCTGTTCTTACAAACTCTTTTTTTTTTCCTTTCCTTTTTTTTTTTTTTTTTTTTTTGAGATGGAGTCTCACTCTGTCGCCCAGGCTGGAGAGGAGTGGCGTGATCTCCGCTCACTGCAAGCTCCGCCTCCCGGGTTCAGGCCATTCTTGTTCTTACAAACTCTTTTGCCTTGAGCTATTAATTTGGCTTCTCTGGACCTCGGTTTTGTCTAACAAGAAATTATTATATTTTCTAGACTCTATGGCTAAATAGAAATATATATATATATACACAAATTGTTGACTAATAAATTATTGCTGTAATCTCCTTTCATCCATCCATTAATTCTGCTTAGTCAAGAAAGCCCAGCTGGGCACAGTGTCTCACATTCGTAATCCCAGCACTTAGGGGAGACCGAGGCCAGAGGATTGCTTGAGTTCAGGAGTTTGAGATCAGCCTGAATAAAATGGCAAAAACCAGTCTCTACAAAAAAATACAAAAAAAATTAGCCAGGCATGGTGACACACACCTTTAGTCTCAGCTACTCCAGACACTGAGGTGGGAGGGTCACCTGAGCCCAGGGAGGTTGAGGCTAAAGTGAGTCATGGTTGCGCCACTGCACTTCAGCCTGGGCAACAGTGAGACCCCATCTCAACAAAAGAGAGAAGAAGAAAAGAAAAAGGCAGGCCCTGAACAATAGAGTATTGCCAAATCCAGAAAACAATGTTATTTCAAATTTTAGCAGTCAAAACAAACAAAAGTGGAAATAAAATAAAACAATAACACTAAACTCTGTCTATTCTTTCACTACCACAATCATTCTTTATACAAAAAATGATTGTTTTAGCTGAGACTTTATCCTATTTTGATAAACCTGGTAAGTCGGTGATTAAAGGGGAACCTAAAAGTATGGTGATCACAATCAACTGTTGTTCAGAGTACAGATATTAATAAAATCTTCTCCATATCTGGTTAGGAAAAATATGAAGGAGTTGGCATTTACTGAGCACTTTCCTTCTGGCAGCCATTCTTCTAGAAACTTTACATGTATCAGTTCATTTCATCCTCACCACTACCCTATTGAGACATTACTTCCATTTTATAGATAAGAAACTGAAGACAGAGAGGTAAGTAACACCCAGAACCACGTAACTGGTGAGTAGCAAGACTAGAATTCAAAGCCAGGTATTCTCACTCTAGACTCTTACTCTTAAACATCACTCTAGACTCTTACACTGTAATACTAGAGGTGACCTTCAAGAATGAGACTATGATATTCAGTGGAAAGGGACCCATCTGAAAGCTTACTCCATTGGGAGTTGTGTCCCTGTTAAATATGGGCCAGGTCTTCCAATTCATATCATGCCGGTACTGCTGGTGCACATGCTCTCCCAGGCCATACACATTAGCACTAGGCAGTCGGGTGGAGAGCTGCAAGAACTGGTCGGCAAACAGGAGGGGCCCAATGCTTGAGTCAAACCTAGACACAGGTGGAGAACACAAGGATGGGTGAGCAAGTGGTGTGGAGAGAATGTAAGTGCTTGGAAAAGCATCCTTTATATCTCAATGACTCAATAGCCCCCATTCATTCAGTCCCATTTGCCATCCTGTGACATTTTTCTATGGACAACAAAAGACTAGGACTCCTTGAAGAAAGGGACCATGTGCAAATTTCTTACTCCCAGACCAGACAGCCTACCACACGACCAGAACACTATACTTACAATAGGAGATGTTCAGTAAATATTTACTGGTGGACAGCTGATTATATATTATAGATGGAGGGAAATAAAGGGAAAACTAAAGAGAAAAAAAATGATTGTGCAAACAGAAGAAAGAGAAAGAAAGTCAGAAAACAATATATACTTTAGAAGGTAAAGGGTCTGATCACTAATAATTGTCTCACAACCTTCAGGAATATTGTTGAAACACCCCCTTCTCCATGCTTACAGACCTCCCTGTAACCTTCTTACTCTGATCCTTTGATAGGTTTCCAAAACTTACAAAACACGATTGTTGCTTCTTCTGGTCACTTTGATGCTAAATGGCTCTCTGGAGATTTCAACTCGGTAGGTCAAAGAAGCAGCAGCATTTCCACTGAAGGACTGCACATGTTCGTGGGGTACTTCAAACCTTTTATTGGTTTGGTCAGTCAACTGTCCAGAGATAGAAATAGAAGGAAAGCCAAAATAAAAACTTGTCAGAGCTTCCCAATATCCCTACTTACCATACTGGAATCAGGTACTGATCAAACTGACCTCATATCTAAGGTAGATGTACACATTATGTTACCAAATTCAAAGGGTTCACCTCTGGGCATAAGTTAGTCTTTAGGTAGAGACATACACAGCACATCTGCAAAGATGGATTGAAAGCTGTGATATCCCTTATTTTATCTTCCTACCACATTCCACATGTTATCTAGAGTAAATAAATGAAAGTCAAACTCACTAGTAAACTATAATACATATTCAGGAAGTTATTATTCTGGCTTACCTGCATTTGTGTTACCTGCATTTGTTACACTAAAGGACAACTATTCCGTATATGTCGTTAACATACAGGTGCCAATTAATAATGACAGTAGAGAAAAATACCTCCAGTAGCAAATTTTTCTATTTTGTAGTAAGTGCAGCCATCAGATAGGGAACAAAAGTCTCTCAAAAAAAACTTTAAAAAAAAAAAAATTACAACCTTAAAGTGGAAACGATTAGATGTCTGATATTCTGCTGTGAGAAGAACATTGTCAACATTGCTTCCGAAGATGGGTGAAGAAGGCAGATTTTTCAACCGGGCTGTGAATCCTAACACAGGAGAAAAAAAAAGGTTGTCATAGTTGACTCTGCAAATTCTCAAATAATACCTACATAAAAATTAGGATACATGGGGCTGGGTGCGGTGGCTCACACCTGTAAACCCAGCACTTTGGGAGGCCGAGGCGGGTAGATCACCAGGTCAGGAGTTCGAGACCAGCCTGACCAACATGGTGAAACCCCATCTTTACTAAAAATGCAAAAATTAGTCGGGAATGGTGGTGCATGCCTGTAATCCCAGCTACTCCGGAGGCTGAGGCAGGAGAATTGCTTCAACCCGGGAGGCAGAGATTGCAGTGAGCCGAGATCACGCCACTGCACTCCAGCCCACACAACAGAGTGAGACTCCATCTCAAAAAATAAAAAAGATTAGGATACATGTCAAAGGGATTGATGAAAAGCCTTTATTTCTCAAAAGAAGGGAAAAGACAGACATATACCCCATCATATGCACATACTATCTTTGGCAGATTATGGTGCTAGATATCACCATTACATTATATAAAAATCTCTCTCTCTTCTATAAAATCTGATTGAAAACCTCCCCCAATAAGCCTAACACTCATACCACAAGCCCATCAGTCATTTGGTGTTAATCGGATTCCCTTTACATTCTCAGAATTGACATACATATACACAATTCCTTCTCAGTCATTTTCATATTGCATTATAGGTGATTATATCCATTGATGCCATCTCCCTAATTAAATGGTAAACCAGGTGAAAGTTGAGACCTTATTGGAACAGTCCATCAGGCCCAGAGCATCTGAAAGGGGAACATGCCTCTTCCTTTCTACTGAGAGCCTCCCTAAAGCGTCACCTTCTGCTATCCCCTAGAATGGTCATCATTATGTTCTGCATTTTTTGGGGGTGGGGTGGTGGCTGGATGGAGTCTAGCTCTGTCACCCAGGCTGGAGTGCAGTGTCACGATCTCAGGTCACTGCAACCTCTGCCTCCTGGGTTCAAGTGATTCTCCTGCCTCAGCCTCCTGAGTAGCCAGGACTACAGGCGCATGCCACTACACCCCGCTAATTTTTGTATTTTTAGTAGAGATGGGGTTTTGCCATGTTGGCCAGGCTGGTCTCAAACTCCTGACCTCACATGATCCATCCATCTCGGCCTCCCAAAGTGCTGGGATTACAGGTGTGCGTCACTGCGCCCAGCCTATGCTCTGCATTTTAGAGTAAGAGGAAGAAGAGGGGCTACTCACTCCATGAACACTTATATTGACTTTCACAACATGTTTATAAAATTGGACTTATTTTCATTTCATAAAAATAGCACAAAATTAGAGTTAGAAGTAGTCTGAGAGGTTAGTGATTTCAAATCCTCCACTTTAAAAGGGATAAACTTGAAAACAAAAATGATCAATGATTATTGCACAGTCATGAAGGTCCATAATGGGGAAGCTGGAAAGAGGACATGGCCCCTCAACTCCCAAGGCAGAGAATAATTTTTCCTTGGTGCCCACATAGATTCTAGTCCTTGATTAAGAGCAGTGCCTACCTTCTGTCACATGTGGTTATGTGGTCCCACAGAGCAGAACTCTGCAGGCTGCCCCAGCTCTCCTCTGGGGGACACAGAGTCATCCTCCAGAGGGTCTGGACCTCCTGCATCGTGGCAGACTCTGGCTTACCTGCATTTGTGTTTACAAGGTCGCCCTCCATGTGGTAGCTATGATTCTTGGAATAGTAGCACCAGGGAACACTTACGGCTCCCTGGGGATTCCAGCAACAGCCACGTTGGTCACATGTGGCCTGAAACAACAGGTTAGTCAAAGAAGCTCCATTTAGTCGTAGAACATGATCATTTATAAAGCATAAAACATCTAATCTGAGACTACGGTATCAAGAACTTCATTTACAAATAAGGCAACTGATATTTAGATAAATTGTGCCATATACCAAGAAATGGCAGAGCTTCTACCTATAACCAATTTTTCTGACCAGTGTCCTTCCTATGTAACAGTATGGGAAGCAAAATGCATTTTGTATCTTTTATCACAAAAAAACTCACAAACATATTTAAAGAGTCTAAACAATAATATAATTATATCACCAGTAATCCAAAATTACAAATGGAGCTTCATTTATATTTGCTTTGACTTTTAAAAATAAGACTTTGCAATCAATTCTATTCTGAAGCTTTCAAATCAAACTAATGTTGTTTTGACTTTTAAATATATGCCTTACATTCATGTGGATTATACATATGTGAGATATATGACATGTATACAGTTCCTCAACTCCTCCAGAGGCAGAAAGTAGTCCTTCTTGACACCCAAACAGATTCTTACTTAAGAAAGGTATGTGCCTTCTAACATAATTAATGACTGAATCAAGTGGAGGCCAAAATGAAGATAGTTTCTTTCTCACACCAACTAATTTGGGAGAAGCAACCAGGTTAAATACAAAAAAGAACAAAGAACTCTCTCCACTTGAGTGTGCGCTGAATCAAGTGATTTGCAAGTAACAGAAACCAGAGAAAATAACAAGATGTTGCTTTCAAGATTAGATCACAGAAAGATTGAAGCTTCTGTCTTGCTTGCTCTCTTTCACTTTCACTGTTGGAGTCCTCGTTCTGGGAGAGGCAAGTTGTCATACTGTGGAGGGGCTCACATGGCAAGGAACTGAGGGAGGTCTCCAGCTAGCAGCCCACAAGGAACTGAGGTTCTCAGTCCAACAACATCTGAAGAGCTGAATCCTGCCAACAACTGCATGAGTGAGCTTGAAAACAATCATCCCATAGTCCTGGAAGACATCTTGACTACAGCCTTCCAAGAGACACTGAGCCAGAGGCACCTAGCTAAGCCACGGTCAGATGTCTGACTACAGAAGCTGTGAGAAAATATTTGTCATATTAGGCCATTAAATGTTGGCATAATTTATTACACAGCAATAGATAACTAATATCTCCTGCCAGATCATTTTACAGATAAATTACCTTTGACCCAGAGTGATAAAGCTTCTCCGAGGTAAAGTGACCTGCCAAAGGTTACTCAGCTATTGAAAAGGCAAGAACATAACTTAGTTCTCTTACTCTCCATTTCTTTTTTTTCTATACTCTGGGTTGAGTATCTCTAAGCACATTTTCAGGAGAATACAGCCTTGCAAATGGTAAGAAAAAATGTTTTGCTTAGTTATACGAACAATGAAATTTAATCAAATGCTATTTTTTACACTAATAGCCAATATAAGGGATAAACAATGATGTCCATACGTGGTTTATACTGCTGTAAGATCAGGTTTCACTGTGAACTCAACCTCAATCCACAGTTTTGTCTTTGTTCTTGTAAAACCCACTCAGATGAAACCTCAGCATAAAAAGAAAAAAGTGTTGAAAGGGAGGGTGTTAAGCATAACAGTTTTTGTATACAGCCTGGAGTTTAATAATTTTTCCATTAAACTGGAAAGGACAAAGATCAGAGTGGCCAAAAGAGCAAGGAATGCAAACAGTCTTTGTTGGCCAAGTCAAAAATGCCAGCTTCTACAGTAGAGCTGAGCCATTGCAAGAAGTGGGAAGAGACATGGAGCAAGACCCACATAATAAGAGAAAACAAAGTATATAAAACCTAGGAAAATAGATTTAGAAAGAAACTATGGAAAATGATGGCATGCATAGAATTAGGGCGCACAAAGAAATTAGGCCCAGGACACAAAATGCCCCTGTAAGTTGGATATGAGAATTAAACATTTAAGGGAAACTAGCAAAATAACATAGAATGTGTAACTACCAAAACAATACTGAAGCAAAATTGTCAGAGTTGGGGGGAGTGTGGAAATCCTCGATCCAAAACATTAAGAAAAAAGACAAGTTTATGAAGGAGTGGGGGTGGGGACTAGCACATAAACAGAATGAAGAGAAAGCACAAAATGAGACCTTAGAAAGAATGTTCTATTCCTGCTCCCTGCCATCAATGGGATCTTTCAACTCTGAGTTCTGGAATTAGGGATAAAAGACTTCATCAAGGAAGTGGAAAGGATTTTAGAATTCAAAGGTTCAGAATAAGTGTAGAGAGTTGTCTTTAAAATCTGCATAGAAGTATAGCCTAAGTGAACCTATAGAGGCACAGAGGTAGGGTCTTAGATGATAGAAGACAGTGTTTGAACTTGACTCAACATACAGTAATAAACCACTATATGTACTGGAGTTGGGTAGAAATAACAACAAAAGTTGGATGTAAAAAAGAGCAATTCTAATCCCTCATGTAACGGAATGGATGGGAGAAATGGAATTCAGAAGGGATGCCAGGGGGCACCTGGAGCAACCCAAGCATGAGGAAATGATGATCTAGGGATGGCAGAGAGGATGGAAATGAAATGCCTCTTCTGGAAAATATTGTTGAGGAAAATATTTTAAAATACATGAAATACTGGCCAAAGGGATAGAAGGGATGAGCCAAGCAGAAGTTCTGCTGTTTCTGCCTCAAGAACTAGAAGCTTAATAGAACTACTAACAGAAATCTGGTAGCTGAGAAGGAAAAGCAGATTTGGTGAGGAGGTAATGAGTTCAGCTGATGTGATAGGAAGGGATTCAGTGAAGATGCCCTCTAACCAGTTTCAAGCCGAGAACTAAAGACATGAACTACAGTTAGATAATTGAGTGATCTTTTTTTCTAAGATCCATGAAGGGGACTCCTAGAGTCCATTCTCTCGACAAAGAACAGTCTCCCAAGAGTACTCAGGGTGTCAGGGTGGCTTGATACATTACTTCCTTCTGTACTGGAAAAGGATTCCCTCCCATAATTGGTAGAATGAAACAATGGTATTTACAACCAAGAACCATCTGTAGGGAAAGTTATTCTTTTAGTTCTTTTACATATAATCTTGGAGGACAGATAATAAGAATGAAAAAATTATATGGGAATGTCCTCCAGAACATTCTGCCTACCCTATCTGTTGTGTTCATAACTTCTTCCCACCATCCTCTTTCAGCTATATTCCCTTTAATGTGAACGCCATACAAACACATCACTATCCATAGCTTCAGCTCTTAACAACAATCTGGATCAGCATACAGCTCTCAGGATTCGTGAAACATACAACAAAAGGCCTAAGATGTACCTTCTACAGGAAAATGAATCATTGAAAGTGCCAGTATTTCTCTCTGGCTGAGCAAAAAAGGAGCATGCCAATTAATACACGCCAAGGTCATGGAGTAATTCAGTTGGGTATGACACGTAGAAAAGCCAAAGATCATTTATTGAACTTCAATCTTGATACCATAGTACTTATCAAAAGATCTTACAATAAAGCACCAAAGAACCATTACTATTGCTGTATCTGAAGTTCACCAATACCACAACAAGATGGAGTGTTGCAGTAGTGTGACATACTGAGAATGTGATAATCTAGGTGAGCTTCCAAGTAATTAGTGAGCTATTGAGTACAGCCCAATTGAGCTATTGAATAACTTGCACAATATGACAGGGAAAGTAAATGCGTGTGCATCAGCTTTCTGTAAGTTTCGCACAACAAACATAGGGTGTGGGCAAAGTACTTTACAATCATCATAATCAGTTGGACTTCAGCCGATAATCTAGAAACACTGGGCTAAAGTAAATACCCAGATGTCTGCACTATCTTTAATCTGGCATTAATTACCTTATAGCATAAGGTAATTCCAAAACATAGCCCTTGAAACTTTGCCCTTATTTTAAATAATGCTTTGTGCACGCGTACGAATTTTTACTGTAGATCCCAGATGAGCTTTGGAAATTCTGAAAGGAGAAGGAGAGACATACAGGGCAAGAACAGAGGCAGAAAGAACTAGTAATCATGTAGTGTTGCCATATAAAAGACAAATACATTTTTAGTAAGTAAGCCCAAAATCTTTCATGGGACACACTTATACTAAAACCTGATTCATTGTTTTTCTGAAATTTGAATTTGGCTGGGCAACCACACTTTTATTTGCTGAATCTGGCAACCCAAGGGAATATTCCAGGTCTTCCTTTCCCGAAGTTGCACTGTCATACAAGCATGGACAAAGGTTAATTTGCCTGAGCGGCTAATGGCTGCAACGTAAACACCTCTCTTGAGAGTCACTAATGAAGAAAACCAAAACAAAACGAAAACAAACAAAAAAACTATCAAGTTGCATAAATTCTGAAATGGAAACAAAATTCATAACTCAAACCTTTGTTGGTGGCTGGTCAGGGATGCAATTAATTCGTTCCAATTCATTTACCACGGGACATTCAGCAGAAACAGGAGTGGTACTAGTTGTTCCAGGATCTAGGGGACCCGTTGTCGTAGGATACGTGGAACCAGTTGTTCCAGGATCTGGGGGACCAGTTGTCCTAGACTGCGTGGAAGTGGTTGTTCCAGGATCTGGGGTACCAGTTGTCCCGGGATCTGGGGCTATATCAAAAGCAAACATAAAATGACCATTAAACAAATTTAATTTCACAGACATTCAATAGTTCTCAGCACCTCCAATTAACTCCACTACTGAGTGGGCTTCACTCTGATGACCTCAAAATTTATGCATTCACTTTATAAAATGTCACTTTGTTCCTGCTGACTGTATTTACCTCTGTGTGTCTCTACATCATCTCCTTCTACTCCCAACTCCATCCCCTACAAGATGGTATGTATAAGAATAAGCACTCCACCTTTAGACTAGAAGCTCATGAAGTTGGGGACCACCCTTCCTTTAGTCTGGGGGTCAGTAACTATGGCCTTCAGGCCAAATTAAGTCAAAGCCTGTTTTACAAACAAAGTATTACTGGAAAATTACACACATGCACATTACATGTTATACACATTACATACTCATTTATTTTTAGCTGCTTTGTGCTACAAGGGCAAAATTAAGTCATATGGCAGAGTCTGTATGGCCCACAAAATCTAAAACATTTACTATCTGGTCCTTTACAGTAAAGTCTGCAGATCTCTGATCTGATTCTTTACTTCCAACCCCAGCAGCAAGGGCACACAGAACACGTGCAGTACAAGTGCCATCCTAGTCACAGTAACCTTCACTTTGCTTGCTCAGTCAACAGCCCATCCCCAGGACAAAGAATGCTTCTGAGCAACATCATTCTTCCGTAAATACAAAGTCCTATATGACAAAAGATGTAAAGGGAGCCCACCAGTCTAAAAACTGACAGCTAGGACTTACCTAAGGGCTGGAGAACTTTGATTTCAGATTTAAAAATCAGTAAATTAGAAAAGGTGTTTTTATTGTATCCTAAAATAAGGAGGTGAGCTTTCTTGAAGGTGTTCTACAATAAATTAATAATGACATTAAGACAAAACAGTTAGTCTTTTGATTGGTTTTCCTTTCATTCGGGGTTTCAGATTCAAATTGTGCCAATGTCTGCACAATGGTTTTAGTTACATCTTTAGAATCACATAATTTTAAGAGTTGAGCAACCTTTGGGACTTTTTTCTACAAAGAGTAGAAATTGTTGTAACAAGGGTGGGGGGTAGGAGGGGCAGAGAAGCCACAGGTTAACCCTTGATTGCCTGGTTCTCCTAGGAAGTTGCTCCTAGATGAATCAGATAAGAAACCATGGATAACTCTGCATAATCCAGCTCCTTTTGAGGATATAAAAATTCAATAAACAAAAAAACTTTGATTAGATGAGGGTCTTCAGAAAGTCCATGAAAAATATGTATTATGAAAAAACTATGTAGAAATTTCAAATATTTTTGGTACTAAAATAAACTCACAGTAGATTGTTACAACGTGTCTGAACAGGACTCAGCTTGAGGCACTAGGAAAGATAAGACATCAGTGTGAAAAGAGCGCCTATCAGAGCAACATAAATTCTGCTAACATTGAAGCAAGAACAAACATCAAAGGCATGATGAAGCTTGGGTGGAAAAATGGTGAAATCACTGATACTTACAAAAAGTTTATGGGGACAATGCCCCCAAAGAAATCAACAGTTTATAAAGGAATAACTCGTTTTAAGAAGGGCCAATACAATATTGAAGATGAAGCCCACAGCAGCAGACCATCCACATCCATTTGTGAAGATAAAAATTAATTTTGTCATGCCCTAATGAAGAGGACTGACAAATAACAGCAAAAAAAATAGTCAAAACCACGGATGTCTCAAGTGGTTCGGCTTACACAGTTCTGACTGAAAAAAATGAAAGTTGAGCACACTTTCTACTCTATGGGTGCCAAAATTGTTGTACCCATATCAGCTGCAAACAAGAGGAGAACCTTAAATGGAAATTTTAAACAAGTGGGGATCAAGATTCTGAAGTATTTCTTTCAAGAGTTGTAACAGGAGATGGAACATGGCTTTGCCAGTGTGAGCCTTAAGACAAAGCACAAGGCAATGGCTCCCAAGAGGGGAAAGTGGCCCAGTCACAGCAAAAGCGGACCAGTCAAGAGCAAAGGTCATGCACAGTTTTTTGAGATGCTCAAGGCATTTTCCTTGTTGACTTTCTGGAGGGCCAAAGAGCAGTAACATCTACTTATTATGAGAGTGCTTTGAGAAAGTTCGCCAGAGCTTTAGCAGAAAAAGCGCCCAGGAAAGCTTCACAGAGAGTCCTTCTCCACCACCACAAAGTTCCTGCTCATTTCGTCATCAAACAAAGGCAATTTTGCAAGAGTTTTGATGGGAAATCCACCTTATGGTTCTTATTTGGCTCCTTTTGACTTCTTTTAGTTTCCTAATCTTAAAAAAATCTATAAAGGGCACTCATTTTTTTCAGTTAATAATGTAAAAAAGACTGCATTAAAAAGGTTAAATTCCCAGGACCCTTAGTTCTTATGGATAGACTAAATGGCTGGTATCATCTTTTACAGAAGTGTCCTGAACTTGATGGAGTTTACATTGAGAAATAAAGTTTATTGTTTTTATCTTTCTGTCTTTCTATTTCTATATTTCTATTTTTCCACAAACTTTTTGAAGTTTCTCATATACTCAGTTGCTTGCCTTTCACATAAGGGTATTGTTAATTACCATTCTTAGCAGAATTAGAGCTATTTAAGGAAATTTGGCAAATGTATTTAAAATGTCAATTATGGAATCCTGCAATGTATTAATTGCTAAATCAAAGTATCACAACTTAAACCTACAATGAATATCTACTGAGCTGCCCAAAACATGTAGAACACACACATATAACAGCCCCTGCAACAAACACACACACACGAGCATGAAAGCATTACTTTCCTGCCATTGATGAAGATTTGCTCTAATAAAAACAACACATGGAGAGAGCCCCAGAGTTACTTCTTACCTGTTGATTTCAATGACTCCTTGGCTAAAAGCACAATTAGAACAATACTGATGATAAACAACACGAGCAGAAGAACACTGAGCACAATCTCCAAAGTAGTAAATTTTTTCAGCTTCTTTCTTGCCATCTCTAAAAAGTAAGAGAAAACAATTTTAGATGTGAATTTGATTTACTATATAACTAGTAAGATTTTTAATGGAAAAGCTCAAATGCATGCAATGGATACTGTAACAAGCCTCCCAAGCCCCCATTATCTAAATTTAAAAATTATCAACTCATGGCCAATTCATTCTGTCTTTATTCTGGTCCACTTTTCTCCCTACCCCGAATTACTCTGAAGCAAATCTCAGGTCTCATGTCTTTTAATATAAAAATACTCAGCATGTTTCTTTAAAAGATAAGAAATTTTGCAAAAGGCAAAATATTATCACACCTAACATATATTTATAATAATTCTTTACTGTCATCAAATATCTAGTGAATTTTGAATTTTCTTTCATTGTCTGATAAACTTTTACAATTTGTTCTGCTCTCCTGAGGATGCAAGTAAGATTTATATCTCGTAATTGGTTTATATCTGTTATGTATTTTTTAATAAACAGAATTTGTTCTGTAGATTTTTCCTGCAGTCTGAATTTTATTGATTACATCTCTATGCATGCTAACATATTTCTCTATCCTTATAGTTCCTGTAAATTAATTATTAGCTTTATAGTTTTTATCAGATTTAAGTTTTTTTTTTAGCAAGAACGGTACATAGATGATATAGCATCTTCCAGGAGACTTTAAATCTAGTTAATTCTCTTTTTTGCAATCTTCATTCTGAAAATAACCAGCTAGATTACCTTGGAAAATTTACTTAAGGTTTCTCATTCTCAGTTTCCTCAATTACAAATGAAAGAAATTCAACTAGAAGAGCTATGATATTCCTACCAGCATTTTTTTCACTTTTTAAAAATATTTTTTACTGATTTTAACTTTTACAGATTTAGGAGTACAAGTGCAACTATGTTACATGGATGTATAGGCATAGTGGTGAAGACTGAGCTTTTAGTGTACCTATCACCCAAATAGTGTACATTGTACCCAATAAGTAGTATTTCACCCCCCTCCCACCCTTTCTCCTTTTGGAGTCTCCAGCATCTATGACTCTGTATGTCCATATATGCTCACTGTTTAGCTCTCATGTATAAGTGAGGACATGCAGTTTTTTACTTTCTGTTTCTGGGTCATTTCATGCAGAAAAAAATAGCGTCCAGGTCTATCCATGTTGCTATAAAAATATGATTTCATTGCTTTTTATGGATGAGTAGTATTCCGTGGTATATATGTACACTACATTTTTAATACAATCATCTGTTGATGAACACTTGGGTTGATTTCATGACTTTACTATTGTGAACACTACTGCAATAAAAATACAATTGCAGGTGCCTTCTTGATAAAACAATTTATTTTTTGTGTATGGATACTCAGTAGTGAACTTGCTGGATTGAAGGGTAGTTCTAATTTTAGTTCCTTGAGAAATCTCCATACCATTTTCTATAGAGGTTGCACTAATTTACATCCCCACCAAAACTGTATCAGCATTTCCGTTTTTCTGCATCCTCCCCAATATGTGTTTTTTGACTTTTTAATAACAGCCATTCTGACCAGTGCAAGATGACATCTCATTTGTGGTTTTAATTTGCATTTCTCTCATGATTAGTGATGTTGAGCATTTTTTCATGTTTTTTGGCCACTTGTATGCCTTTTTTTGGAAAAATATCTGTTTATGTCCTTTGCCCACTTTTTAATGGGGTTAAGTGTTTTTTTTTTCCTGTTGAGTTGTTTGAGTTACTTATAGATTCTGGATATTAGCCCTTTGTCAGATACATTGTTTGCAAATATTTTATCACACTCTGTAGGTTGTCTGTTTACTCTATTTTTTTTTTTTTTTTTGTTTTACTGTGCAGAAGCTTTTTAGTTTAATTAAGTCTCCTATTGTCTAATTTTGTTTCTGTTGTGGTTTCTTTTGAGGACTTGGTCATAAATTCTCTGCCTAGGCCAATGTTCAGAGAGATTTTCCTAGGTTTTTCTTCCAGGAATTTTATAGTTTCAGGTCTTACATTTAAGTGTTTAATCCATCTTGAGTTAATTTTTGTACATGCTGAGAGATTTCATTCTTCTGCATATGACATTCCAGTTTTCCCAGTACCATTTATTGAATAGGGAGTTCTTTCGCCAGTGCATATTTTTGTCAAGAATCAGTTGATTGTAGGTATGTGGCTATATTTCTGAGTTCTCTATTCTTTTTTACTGATTTATATGTTTATTTCTATACCAGTACTGTGCTGTTTTGGTTACTATAGTCTTTTAGAGTAATTTGAAGTCAGGTAATGTGATACCTCCAGCTTTATTCTTTTTGCTTAGGATTACTTGGGCTACTTACACTCTTTTAGGGTTCCATATGAATTTTAGGATTGTTTTTTCTAAACCTGTGAAGAACAATGTTGGTAATTTGATAACAATTGCACTGAATCTGTAGATTGCTTTGGGCAGTATGGTCATTTTGATGATACTGATTCCTCCAATCCTTGAGCATGGGATGTTTTCCAATTTGTGTCTCCTACAATTTCTTTCATCAGTGTTTTATAGTTGTCTGTAGAGATCCTTGAACCGCCTTGGTCAAATGTATTACTAGGTATTTTATTTTATTTTATTGTAAATGGGATTGAGTTCTTGATTTGGTTCTCAGCTTGATTGTTATTGGTGTATGGAAATGCTACTAATTTTTGTACATTAATTTTGTGTCCTGAAACTTTACTGAAGTCATTTATTAAATCTAGGAGTCTTTTGGAGGGTTTAGGGTTTTCTAGGTATAAGATTATATCATCAGTGAACAGAGGTAATTTGACTTCCTCTTTTCCAGTTTGGATGCGTGTTATTTTCTTCTATTGCCTGATTGCTGTAGCTAGGACTTCCAGTACTATGTTGAATATGAGTGGTGACAATGGGCATCCTTGTCTTGTCTCCATTTAGGGGGAATGCTTTCAATCATACTGAACTTTTCCTTGTTCAGTATGATTTTGGCTATGGGTTTTTCATATATGGCTTTCACTATTTTGAGGTATGGTCCTTCTATGCCAAGGTTGTTAGGGTTTTTTTTATGAAGGAATGCTGGATTTTATCAAATACTTTTTCTACATCTATTAATATGATCATATGGGTTTTGTTTTTAATTCCGTTTGTGTGATGAATCACATTTATGGAATTGTGCATGTTGAACTATCCTTGCATATCTGTAATAAAACTCACTGATCGTGGTGTATTATCTTTTCCACGTGCTGTTGGATTCAGTACGTTAGTATTTTGTCAAGAATGTTTGAATCTATGTTAATAAGGGATATTGGTCTGTAGTTTTATTCTTTTGTTGTGTCTTTGTCTGGCTTTGGTATCAGGGTGATGTTGGCTTCAATACTAGTTTTTAAAAGTCATTTTCAAGTGAGTCACAGAAATCTCACACTATTCTATTTCTCCCTTTCACAAAAGACACATGTGCTAAACATTTCATTAGTGTCTTTTTTTTTTTTTTATTCTATCCCCAAGTTCTTCTCGGAAGAGAGGGCGGTGCTAAATAGAGCACGAGAATCCCTGAGCTCGATTTCCAACCCTACCATTTTTTGCTGTGGTAGCTGTAACAATTTATGTAATACTCTTGAGTCTCAATTTTCCTATCTGTAAAATGAAACTACAATTTCTTCTGTTATTATTATCTATTGCCAGCTTCTTATTGTGGAAATCAAATAAAAATATTCTAAGTCATAAAGCATAGGTCTCATTATATTATTATTTACCAAAGAGAAGACAGGTAGTGGGTCCTAGGTAAGAAACAGAACGTTTCTACAAAATATGTCAGTCCTACTTTCCCTGAGTATGGCACCACACCCGGCTTGGTGTTCTGGTGGAGCAGCTGATGAACAATGCTGACTGCTGTCCTGGTTCACTTGCTCCGGTATGACCTCCATTAAGTGCTTTATGGCCCCATGTGTTGAATGACTCATGCATTGCCTGGGACATAAGTGTAGAAAGCCAGGAAGAGGAGCCATAGCTGCAGTCTTGCCTATACAAGGCCTACTTTCCCCATCAACCCACCAACGCTTGCTTTCCCAGGCTGCCTTGTAAATCATACTCTCTTTACTCAAAAAGAACATCCCCTTTCTTCTCCTGTGAGGTCTTAGTTCATGACTCCCTAAATCAGGAATTGTTTGATATTTCCTTGCAGTCTCATTCTCCACCCAATCAACGTTTCCTCCCATATTCTCTTCAGTAGGAAGCAGTCTTCCTTAGTCATTTATCCAAGGACTGGTTGAATAAGAGGACTTACTTCTCATACATTGATAAGAAACTGCTATTAGTCAACATAATGCCCTCTTACTATGCAAAAGGAAATGGAGCTGTGAAAGCAACCTTTCTCTACAACAAGGATTGCCTTGTGTTTTCTAGAATAAATTCCAATTCTAGTCTTTCTTATCATGACAGTCTCCACTATCTCACATTCCAAAGAGCTTCATAAGAAATCCTATAAAATTAAATTTGCTTGTTAAATTCCATAAAGATTAATAACCTCTCATGCCTGGTATAATTAAATAAACTAATAAAGCAAAGAGTGATCTTATGTTCACTGATAAGAAGAGGAGTTAGAATGTCTATCCAAGTGACCATGTCTCCTGTTTGGTAGATGCTAATAGTTATAAGATGTGAGATTGCTTTTTATAATAATATTTAATTTTTTTCCAAATGTTTATTAACACACTATGTTAGACACTATGAAGAAACACCGACCCATTGCTGGTCAAACTATAAACACCCTATGCTCAATGAAGACTTGGCCAAAACTATTAAAATTACTCACGCCCATTACCCAGCAATTGCATTTATAGAAATTCATCCCATAAATACACTTACACATTTGGGAATCAATGTATATACAAATAAAGGTTTTTCATCACAGTAGTACATGTAATAGCAAAAGATTGAGGACAGTGTAAATATCCATAGAGACAGTACTCAGTAAATATGTGAAGTAAAATATAATACAATGTTACTTAAAAAATCACAACATGGCAGGTGTTTTTAATTTCACAAATTATTTGATACTCCTCTCTTGAAGAGGTAGGCCAAGTCCCCACCACCCCCCGCTTTGAGGATGAGCTGGACTTAGTGACTCACTCTCAACAGATAGGATATGGAGAAGGGATAGCATCTAACTTTCAAGACTAGGCTTTACAGCTTCCTCCTTGCTCTTTCTCTTGGATCATTTCCTGAAGAAAACAGTTGCCATGCCATCATAACATTCAAGCAGGACTATGGAAATTTCTAGCAAACAACTGAGGTCTTTTGCTAAGAGCCATCTGAGTGAGCTCCCTTGAAAGCAGGCCTCTATCCCCATTCAAGCCTTCACATGACTGCAGTCCTGGCTGACATCTCGGCCGGACTCATGAGAGACCCTGAATCAGCACCACTCAGCTAACCCACTCCCATATTTCTGTCCTGCATAAATTGGGAGATAATAAATGTTTGTTGTTTTAAACTACAAAATTGTAAGGTAATTTGTTACCCTGCAATAGATAACTAATATGCATAGGTAAATATGACTTTTTAATAAAATATCATTAACATTTTTTTAAAAACTTGCTGTTTATCAATAGTCCTTTTGCGCCATATATTCAAATATGGTTACTTGCTCTACGGAACAATAATATCTATTTTCTAGCTATACAAGAGAAAGGTTTCCTTAAACCTTAAAAAAAACTCCAGCATTATCTGATTGACCTTACTTCCTGCATTATAAAACCCTTGATGGTGAAGCGTCCTATCTCAATTAGAAATGCAATTGAAGAAAAACTAAGATCAAGAAAAATGGCAAGAGGCAAATAAAAAAGGAAATAATTTCAATAGGGTTAAGTGCTTTTAAAAATGTTTTTTAAAAAACCACTACTTGGTAATCTGTCCTTCATCTTTGACTATTATTTTTATAGGACAAATACATAATTATGCAATTTTAATGCTAATGATAATAATGGTTAACAGTGATTGAGCAGATATCCTAAGAGGCTTCCATAATTTGTCACATGCAATTTTTATAACAACTGCAAGTTGATTATGGCTACTATCCTCACTTGCAGATGAAAAAATTAAGCTTCAGAAACATCAAATAACCGGCCTGATGTCATACAGCTGATAAGGAGCAGAGCCCCAGTTTGAACACCTGCCCTTTGGACTCCACAGCCATGGCTTTCAACCGTTACTCTATAGGCTATGCTATAATGCCCCACAGTGTACACCAGCTTGGGCTTTCTGTGAGGTTGTAGTTTTATCAAATAAAACCACATTAAGTTTATGGCCCATAGCACTGTTTTAAATTACCTGGGAGACCTAGAAGAAGCTACTGATGTGCCTTATGTGCCACGTTCATTCATCATTATCTAAGCTATATCTCTGGAAGAAAGAAATCTGCTTGCAGTTTATTTATTCATTCATGAATTATTTATTAAGTCCCTACAATGTGCCAAGCATTCTTTCAAACACTGGCTATACAACAATGAACAAAACAGATAAAAATCCCTGCCCTCGTGATTCTTACATTCCCACAAGTAGAAAAAAGAGACAATAAACAAAATAAATAAATATACAATAGGCTATACTGTATAAGTATATGGAGAAAAAGTGGGAGATAAATGAGGAATGTTGGGGTAAGGGTTGCAATTTTAATTAGGTTGGTCAGAAAAAAAAATCGTACTGAAATGTAAGAATTATTACTATATATATATAGGAACGCTTTTACACTGTTTGGCGTGTAAATTAGTTCAACCATTGTGGAAGACGGTGTGGCAATTCCTTGAGGATCTACAACTAGAAATACCATCTGACCCAGCAATCCCATCTGACCCAGCAATCCCATTACTGGGTATATACTCAAAAGATTATAAATCATTCTATTACAAAGACACATGCACATGTATGTTTACTGCAGCACTATTTACAATAGCAAAGACTGGGAACCAACCCAAATGCCCATCAATAATAAACTGAATAAAGAAAATGTGGCACATATACACCATGGAATACTATGCAGTCATATAAAAGAATGGGTTCATGTCCTTTGCAGGGACATAGATGAAACTGGAAGCCATCATTCTCAGCAAACTAACACAGGAACAGAAAACCAAATACTACATGTTCTCACTCATAAGTGGGAGTTGAACAATGAGAACACATGGACATGGGGAGGGGAACATCACACACCGGGGTCTGTCAGGGGATGGGGGACTAGGCGATGGAGAGAATTATGACAAATACGCAATGCATGTGGGGCTTAAGACCTAGATGATGGGTTGATAGGTACAGCAAACCACCATGGTACATGTATACCCATGTAACAGACCTGCACGTTCTGCACATGTATCCCAGAATTTAAAGTAAAATTTTAAAAAAGAATTATTAATATATATATACATTATGCAAAAGCAACAGAATTGTTTTTCTTCTTGAATTATTTAGTATATGAATAATTGTCAAAGCTCATTGTCCTGGTACTGTCATAGTGCTTTAGGCAAAGTAGACAAATCACATGGGGGCCCAAATTACTAAAATGGCTATCTAAATTAATTTGGAAAAACTAGACATTTGTCCTCTTTTCGGCATTATGGTCAGTGTTTGATGTGTACATGGAGGTCTAAGCCATTCTTTTAAAATCCTTTGCTAACACAAGGCATGAGATCTAGTAGAAAAGAGGATTCATTGTAGATGGACCAAGAACAACTTGCAAAGAGGACCCCAGCAAGCCATAGCTATTCATCAAAAATGCTGGGCAATATTAGTAGGTTGGGTCATCCTTTCCCAGCTGCTTGGTGAGTGGGAAGGGATAAGGTAGCTAATGAATGGCTTTTTTCTTGCAAGTCTGGTCACATCCAAAGTGAGAGATCTAAGAGTCAGCTCTTACCCTAGACTGCTGTGTGACCTTGGAAAAACAACTTAACCCCTCTGGGTCTCAGTTTCCCCATCTGAACTGCAAAGGGATCATCTCTAGGAGACAGCTAACTCCTCCTCAAGCCCGGCAACAGAGTGTGCGAAGGCTTATATTTCTCATCACATTCCACAGCTGCCACCTGAACCAATTTTAAATGGAAAATTTCTTATTCTAGTTCCATTCCCTGCTTACAGAACAATTTTTATAGTAATTTTATTAGCTCATTAAAATTTATTGGTGAGGGAATTCCTGATAATAAAAAATGATCATTGGCATCTTGTCAAAGTGTGAGTGAAATAGCAATGAGCTGTCTTAAATTTAGCGTAGCACTTCATTTGATCCCTGGTAGCACAGGGTCCTACCAGCACAACAAACCAAAGACCCCCTCCATCTCACCCCCTCTTGGCACACCTGCAGACATACACTTATTGTCCCACACCAGGACACAGACTGTAGACGGTTTGGACACTGGGAGGTCCTCCTTGCCCAGCAAAGCCACTGATTAGATTCTGCAACAAGAACCTACTGATATCCTTTTTCAGGGAGACCCACGGGGATTAGTCTCAATTTCTTTCTCTCCCCCAAGAGTAACTCTCCCTTCCCACCTCTGTAACCATCAGAAAAGAAATGCCTGCATGTGTCTAGCTAGACTCTGGCAACTAGTAAGGATCCAATTTTTTTTTTTATTTTAAGTTTTACCAGGGAGGGCCAAAAACAATTTATCACCTTCTCCTCTTCCCATGGGCACTCCCATTCTACTCCACACATGACTGCCAGGACAGATACCCTACCTTTCTCTTTACAACCTCCTTCCAGATTCCACAGGAAACCACTCCTAATCCCCAGTGCATACCAACTCATAAATGCATCCCAGTTTGTTACACACACCCTCAGTCTATTCCCTAAAATTATTCTGTATTTGATCAACAGAGGTACCAAACCCATAAGCATAGTGATAGATTTCTCAATTTTCTGACTATAATTGGTTCTCCAATTACATTTTCTCAATCACAACTCCACATCCTTTCAGAGAGAAATGCTCTAATCTCACTCCCAAATTCTAACGCCTTTTATTCACTTCTCTCACCTCATTTCCAGAATCTGAAAGAATTTCTGCCTGCTACCTCAACCTAAGTATTAAATAATTCATCACACCTCACACAGAAACACACACATAAACACACAGGTTTCACTACAATCAGGCTTATAGATCTGGCCTTAGTTCAGAAAAATATACACACACTAAGAAAAAAAGATAAATGAGAATTTTGTTCCAAGTGTATGCATGTGCATAATTTTTAATTTATTATTGGTGTTGTTTATCTTTGTCTGTGTTTAACAAATTGACAAGGGCATTTTGACTAAAGGAGACCAACTCAAATTCACACACACTTGTAGACACACATCTGTAACCACAAAAGAACCCAAGGTTCACAAACATACCTCATTATCTCCTGCAGCCGCTCCCTCTCTGCCTGAAGGATGGCTTAGCAATAAAAGCAGAGGAGCACAGTCCACCAAAGCAACCAAAGATCTGGTAACTATTTACTGACCTATCAAGAAAATGTTAATGGCTTTCAAATGCAAATGAATGGCCAGCTTTTATTTCCAGGATCAGAATTTTTAGTTAATTAGTAATCGTGGTCTTGCTTTAAGAAGGACATCCCTACGACTTTTGGAAGGAAAAGTCAGCTCCCATGACCCACTCCATCCCCTCCAGGCACTGAATGTTTAATCAGTGGTAAGGACACTCCGTGTGTCTGGTAAGAGAACACAGACACAATTTGTAGATGATAAAGAGCAAAAAATAAATGACCCCAGTATTCCAAAAGAGCCCTGGTATCTTGCAGTGACTCCGAATCTCTCAGGAACTCATCGACATTTAGTAGCACAATCTGATGATTGCGATGGAAGGAAGTCGTTTTAAAAATGTTTTAAAAATAGTTTTCTTCTTTCTTCTTTCGGGTGTCCTTAAGCTTGTTTGCAGTATGGAAATCCTTTAACAGTCTGGTGACTCTTGAACTGCCTTTGCAGAATTATAAATAAGAGAAATCTAACATGACTGACTCCATCTTGCTTCTAACCTCCCAGGCTAAATTATGTTTTCTGGGGGATTTTTTTGGGGGGGTTGGCTTTTTGCTTATTCTACTACAAAGGCCAACATAACTATGAGAGGGATTTAGTTTATAGTTAAACTTGGAGTCAAGGGAAAATGATCCCCCTCCTTGCTTGGAGCTTAAAGCCACATTCATAAGGCAAGGTTGGAATTATGGTAGGGGCTTGGACTTTGCTAAAGAATAGGCATAAACAATGTCCCGCCATGGCTTAGTTTGTTTTCTGTAAGTTGTTTACTGCCCCAGTCACATAACCAATGTCACAAAATGTATAACTTCCCCAACTACCAAAGATAACATCACTGTATTGGTCTGTTTTCACACTGCTATAAAGACATACTTGAGACTGGGTAATTTATAAAGAAAAGAGGTTTAGTTGACTCACAGTTCCGCAAGGCCGGGGAGGCCTCAGGAAACAATCATGGTGGAAGGAGAATCAGGCACATCTTAACATGGCGGCATGCCAGAGAGAGAGTGAGCAAGAGCAGCGAAAACTGCTTTATAAAACCATCAGATCTCGCGAGAACTCACTCACTATCAAGAGCACAACACGGGGGAAACCACCCCCATGATCCAATCACCTCCCACCTGGTCCCTCCCTTGACACGTGGGGATTATGGGGATTACAATTCAAGATGAGATCTGGGTTCGGACACAAAGCCTAACCATATCAATCACTCTTGTGAAACCTAAATAATTGGTCTTTTAGACATTTGTTAGCGTTTCAGTAGACCGAGAGACACCACCTAGTCTTGAGGCCCCCCCAACACACACACCCCTCCCGGGAACTGACTCAGCTGCACAAAGACAGTTTTAGGTGCTCCTGTGATTTCATTCCCCACCAATCAATTACACAAGTTCTCCAGCCCCATGCCCACCAAAGTACCCATTACAAACCTCAGCCTTTGAATCCTGGGGGAGATGGGATTGAGAAGTTTTTCCCTGCTCTTGTTTGGCCAGCCCTGTGATTACTAAACTCTTTATTTACTACAATGCCAGTTTAATAGTGCAGTCAAGAATATATTGCTCTGTTTTATAGGTGTGCATTCCCCAAAGTGCTCGGAGGAGTGCTAGCCACTCCTTAAGTCCCTGCCCACAGAGCTTTCTCAAACTCTCTGTTAAAGCCAGACCCACATGAAGAGCCCATTCTGAATGCTGAGCCCAGAAGGGACAGATGAGGCCCCGTGTGCATTCTTCCTCCTCCTACATGGAACATGACTTTGTGTTCTCCCTTCCTGGAATAAAATCCTTGTAGAAAATAATAATTTTTTCTGTGTGGATTTTACTGGGAATTAACGGTGGGTGGATTAGGCGTCCCTAAAAGTATCCTTTTAGTATGAAATTGTCAAACATAGTATTTCATTCAAGATCAATCATTTCTTGGAGAGTATTTTCATGTTAAATTTTCAGAGGATTTAATCTGAAAATTTGGGGAATTTTCCATAAAAATTGAGGAATTTTGGAAAATTTGGAGAATGCTCCTTAGGGATTCTCAGCCCCCATACAGCAGCAAGAGGATCACTTGAGCCCAGGAGATTGAGGCTGCAGAGAGCTATGACAGCACCACTGCACTCCATCCTGGGCAGCACAGCAAGACCCTGTCTCTAATAAAAAAAAAAAAAAAAAAGGAAGAACATGGAGTTTCAAATCAAACTAGCCTGGGCTTAAATATGAGGTCCTCTACTTACTTTCTGCAGAACTTGGACAATCATTTCAATTTTCTGAAGCTCAGTTGCCTTATCTGGAAATCAGGGATGATCATGAGTACTTCATGATGTTACTTTGAGCCTAAGCTGACATAAGTACCTGACATCCAATGTCAGTTTCCCAACCCCTCCTCAGCCAGTCCTTTCTGAAAATGAAATAATATCCAACAAGCAGTATCATTAGCTTAAATTCTGTTAAGAACTACTCCTCCAGTTCCTCAACCCCCAGGAATAGCCACAGGAAACAGTCAACACATCCCACACTGAACTGATTCCACAGGCCAATGGAGAAAAACCATTACTACAAGACTCTCTCTCTCTCTCTCTCTCTCTCTCTCTCTCTCCCCCCCCTCTTTCTCTCACAAATGTGCACGCGTGTGCACACACACACACACACACATTCACAAGCGAATGGCATCTATACCCCCTACCTATCAAAATGATTTCTCACAGTCTTCATAGCCTACAAACATTAATTTTTACCTCTGTTTTTGTTGCAGCCAAGTTGCTTTCCTTCTTTCGTCCTATATAAAAGACCTTAACATCGCATGCTACCTGCAAAGGGCAAAAAGGACTTGGTTGGAGGAGGAGTAATTTCTCTGCCCAGAAATGTTCAGAGGAAGGTAAGAGCAGAAACAATGTACACAGGACATTACAGCATTTCCTTGTCTTGTGAAATGTCTATTATTTAGCAGCTTTACACTGTCTTCTACTCCTTCCTCTTCACCACCACAGACAAGAACACATGCACACACAAGTATGAGTACAGAGAGAATTTTAAGAATAACACATCACCTAGTATTCACATAAACTTTACATTTGGCCATGCACGGTGGCTCATGCCTATAAATCCCAGCACTTTGGGAGGCCGAAGTGGGTGGATCACCTGAGGTCAGGGTTTCGAGACCAACCTGGCCAACATGGTGAAACCTTGTCTCTACTAAAGATACAAAAATTAGCCAGGCAGGTGGCAGGTGCCTGTAATCTCAGCTACTCGGGAGGCTGAGGGCAGGAGAATCGCTTGAACCTTGGGAGACAGAGATTGCAGTGAGCTGAGATCACGCCACTGCACTCCAGCCTGGGTGACAGAGTGAGACGTCTCAAAACAAACAAACAACAAACAAACAAAAAACAAACAACAAAAACCTTTGCATTTTGTGACACTTTGCAGTTATTCAGAGTACCTTTTAAATTTTTTTTTTTTTTTTTTGAGACAGAGTCTTGCTCTGTCGCCCAGGCTAAAGTGCTGAAGTGCAGTGGTGTGATCTCGGCTCACAGTAACCTCCTCCTCCTGGTTTCAACCAATTCTTCCACCTCAGCCTCCAGAGTAGCTGGGATTACAGGCATGCACCACCACGCCCGGCTAATCTTTGTATTTTTAGTAGCGATGGTATTTCACCATGTTGGCCAGTCTTGAACTCCCGACCTCAGGTGATCCACCCACCTTGACCTCCCGAAGTGCTGAAATTAAAGGCATGAGCCACCACACCCAGCCCCAGAGTACTTTAATCTGTACTACTTCACTGATCACAACAATCTTTTAAGATAGGGCAGGTATTTTTAATGACCATGTATAAATGAGGAAACAGAAACTAAGAGAAATGAGTTGCTAAAGGTCACTCATATCGTGGTGGAGTTAAACTCACTTAATTAAACTCGTTAAACTAATTTAATTTCAATCCAGGAATCCAATGTTCGTAGGGTTTGAAAGTAGTAAATACAGAAAATGGCTTTTTCAAACTAAATGTTTGTTCATTCATTCAACAAATTCAAAGTGGATTTGCCACCAAGACTCCCAAACAGGAATCCCTCAAATCCTATCAGTTGTCAAATTCTACCATCCTCACCTCAGAGATAGCTATTTCTCTTCAAGCTCAAATCTTGTTCTAGAAACCCCCATCATTTCCTCCATGGCCTCCTCCCCTGTGCCTCGCTGACACCTGCACGGTCCACTTCTGTGTGGGAAGCTCAACATGACCCTAATACTCTGATCTCAGCCAAGTGAACCAGCTGGACAGATGATCCGACCTCGTCCAGATGGATTCGCCCTCTCAAAAATTTGGATTTGAGACACGGTGCCTGAATCATACTGCACTGAGTGAGCACTATGTCTGTGGGATTACGGCATGTTATTAAGATGCAGAAATTAGTTTTAGTGAAAATCCTTGTTTGTTGGAAAGAGAATGGGATATACATGTAGAGAGTAGCAGAAAGAAAACATTCAAACCCAAAGGAAAAGCAGAGACATTAACTGCCAGTATTCTTTTCATTTCTGTGAAAGCCAGGGTACAACTTAATTTCATGTGATTCTCCTATTTCTTCACCAAAACACTACCTTTACTATGCCTATGACTACCACCACAACTACCAGCACCACCACTATCCTAACTTCCAGTTTCTGTGAGTTTCTGTGCCATGTGACAAAATGGTCCCTGCTAGCCCTGCTATGACAGGCTCGGGTTGTCTCCCATTGTCCGGTATAAATAAATATCTCCACCAAAAATGTCTAATCATAGTCTACCCTATGAGCAAAAAGTTATCCTCCTGTTATCTGCACTTTTCTGGCTTTTACCACCACTTGCAACTGTAGGACCTCCAAATCTCCACAAAGTCCCTCCCCATGGGGTTTGGCATCCCCATTGAGTTCTATTTTTTAGATGAGGGTACATATACCATAGGAGGTATGTGGTAGCATATTGAGAGATTCATAATGCATTTTCTTGGAAATTCCATTTTAGTTCAAGATTTGTGGAAAAGAATAAGCAATTTCAATCAATATTTTGAATTGCTAAAATTGTGGTAGTACAATATAATAGTATGCAAA